CTAGCTTATGTTTCTTTGTGGTTGTTACGGGTTAGCCTTGATGTTCGCAGACTGAAGTATCCCACTAAGTATATAATTCTTTGTCAACCATTGCTTGTTTGTTCGTGTAATTAACTTAATTAATTTATGATATTGATGCTTTCCCTCCTTTTCCTTTTTTATTTTTTTTTTTGCAAGAGTAAAGAATTTAGAGCACCTAAAAACCGGATTTGACGTATTGAGATACCCATCCGACATGACCACTTTCTGTTATACAGAAGTTCCGGCCTAAGAGTCTGATATGCGCATCCCTGAAAAACTCAATGCTATTATCTAGGAATCGCAAACCATAACTAGCCCGACGCAGCAGGCACATTAGTGTAAATCGGTTTCTTAGTCTCTTGAACAATTAGTAGGTGAGAAGTCTAGTTGTTATACAGGCGAACAATCTCAAAAGTTGGTAGACAGTATTTAAAGTTAGGAGCATTGCGCTATGGTGCTGAAAATACCTCAAGCCGTGATTTCACTGAGAGTAGAAATCAAGTTGAATATATTGGTGCTATTCGAGTCTATTATAGTTGGCATATCATCCAAGATGCTCATATCGACATGCATTGTCCCTATGAAATGATCAAACTACTCAACCAACCTTGTGAGGTGGATATCTGCGTAGTGCTGGGTGTGGAGTTCCAGATGACTACGTGTGTTCTTTGCCTTTTCAGAAAATGCCAGTCGAACAAAGTCTCGTGTTGCCCAGACATGACTAAATCATATATTCTCTTGGTGTAACATACTTTCTATTTTGTTCAACATGGCAGTGTCCGCTTTAGAGGAAAGTCTGGCACTCGCTAATTAGGGTGTAAGAGAGGTGATGACTACAGGATATCAATATACCTTACTATTCTGAGCATTTTCCTGGCTACTTCAGTCTCAGGTGCAGAGTCAGATGCTCAGTCTACACTGTCAGAGTTTGTGCAAGCCTTATATTATTGGTGTCAATCAAATACTATTCAGGAATCACCTCTATATCGTATCCGAGAGCTAAGGTCCAGTTCGATGAAAGGAAGCGGACGTAGATCAGATTGATAATCTTGCAAATGATCTGTTTTATCTAGCCCCAACTACGGCAAGCCTACCAGAATCAGGCAAGGACTTTGGGCAGGGATTTGGAGAGTACTTCATTTCAAGAGAACAAAAATATTAGAATGACCTTGGCATCTTGCAAGACCGTCTCGGGGCTACTGAGATAAGTTAACATAGTGATTTATATATCGCCTTTATGTATTTCCACGCTGACGCAGCCCGCACAGGCCATCATGTTGGCTTCCTGCTATGTACGATTGCACACAATGGTTACGAAGATATCTACGTAGTATTATATACGTACTGTTATTGAGATTGTCGTTCAGCACTCAAAATTTGTGGATCGCTAATGTGCCTCTCTGAGATATCCGGCTGGACACTGCGCATATCGGTATTATTCATAAAAATGGAGAATATAGATTATTTACAAATTAATTCACGCCCAACAGCTACAGATCATGCATAATTTCAGCATCAATCTCTATCTTCACTGGCCGTATATGCCTTATCGCTTTCCGCTGGCATACTCGTCCTGTGTACGATTCGCGCCCATCGTCGTCTTCTCCATTCTCCCATCACTGATGGTCCAGTACCTCCCTTCTCCTCGTAATCCTGCGACGCCCGTCCCTTTCCTTTCCGTTTTACCTTCTTGACTTCCCCCTTTACGGACGATTTCAAGTCGGAGTCAAACTCCTCATAACCTAATGCAGCGTTTACCCCGCTACTATCCCGGTATGATGTAGCAGATGGGAGGTCCCAGACCCAACCCCCAATTTCGTCATTCGCCGCGTTTTCCTCGGGGGCACTTTCTGAAACTTCAAAGCCGACACCAGTAATCATTCGTTCGACGACCCACTCGCGGCAATCTAGGTCAAGTTCCCACTTCTTGCTTTTCCAAGCCCAGCCAGAAGGCGGCTGAACATCCTCGAAGAACCGACAGCCTTTAGGACGGTCTCCAGCAATACGCAATGGGGATAGTGGATCGTATGGCATGGGGCTGAAAATGAAGTGGTCCCATTGTGAGTCAGAATAAGGGGCCAGAGAGCGATATTGAATTTCGAAGATCTCCACCTCACGTTCTTCGGGATACGTGTCTAGGGAGATATCTGCTAAAGACCGTAATGAAGACATAGTTGCGGAGGGAGAAGATGGCAGGGGTACCCCTAGGACGTCCATTGTATCCTTCTTGCCATTGTTGGATTTTGTGAGAGCATTCCCAGCCGGTTCGTTCGTAAGGTCACCTGCAATATTTTGGAATAGTTCCTGGAGGCTGGGGTGGCTGGACAAAATGGCAGCGTCGCCACCCACAAGGAGTATATATCTCCACGGGAGGAGGTGCGCAGTCAGGAACAACAGAGCCGTAATGATTGTACAGACTAGAAAGACAACTGACGACACCTTTTCATTGGAGAAGTTCGTCAGAGGTGCGAATGCAGAAACCGTTGCATCATGTATGTCAGAGAAATCGGCCATACAGTTCTGCAAGTCCCGCATGTTCCGAAAGAAATCTTTAGATGTCTCTGGTGCCGGCTTGATCGTCTTGGCTGGTGCAAGTGCTGGCCCTTGATATGAGTAATAAGGAGTGATACTGGATGTCGATGTTGATGGAGGTGGAGGATGGCGTGCCAAAAAGGCGGGGACCATCACAAACAGTAAGATAGAAGCGATGGGTATAATTACGAGGAGATGAGGGTCTAAGCAGACGAAAGAGTAGACGAAGAGAAAAGAGAAAGTATGGGAAGACTTTTTCCAGGTGAGCAAACGCTCCATGCGCGTTTGAAATGAGAATACAATCCCAATTCTGCCAATGATTTCAGTCTCTGCTTGTGTCCAGACCACGCGCCCAGATACATGATACATACCTTGCATTGAATCTGCGGAAGTTATTAGCCATCAGGGGCAGACTGAAGGCCGGCCGTTTAGGATCGACAGGCCGCTTGTCGCCCATGACCACTGAGTCGTCGTTGACATCTTCTGCCGGGATTACTTGCTGCAAGAGTCTTGTTACAACTAGTCAGCGAAAGAATCCCGTAGAGATCAGAAACTCGAGACGATCGAGTGAGGTCATACTTGGCGAATAGTTTATCTTGCAAGGACCGGCCAGCACCCGAGGCGGATCGCTGATGTCCAGCAGAAGGTTTAGAATCTCTTGATTCATCCCTTTGTTTCCCCACGGAGATTACAGGGACAGGCTCGTCACGGTTGACGATAGCGTCCGGAGTATGTTCTTCCATGTTATATTCAGCTACCGGAAGAGATCGATAGTAAGCAAAAGCATTTCCGACAGCGGACAATAGCAATAGATGAAAGCCGCTCGGCTGTTTGCAAGCGGAAGCACATGCATCACATTACTAGAAGGCGGAGAGCCGAGTTCATATCAGCACACTGTGAATGAACCTAGCTTATCGGGGGGGGGTATCATCATGACAATACCAACCCCATGGTTATTTTACAATCGGGGTACCGCCTTGGTATTGCCCGGTATGTATTGGACTAGGTTGGCAACGGGCAGCCTTACCTTGGGTATACCTTAGGTAATACGTAGTATAACCTAATATCCATATTTTGGGTGTTATACCTCAACACACAACATTGTTTGTGCTGTTTGCAGGCATGCAACTGGGTCACTCTCGCAGCAAAAAGGAGCAGGGGGGTTTTTTGGTGATGGTTGTTTAGAGGTTAATCCTTAGTTGGGGCTTGTTATGTTTACAGGTAATTTCTTCCAGGTCTCCACCGGGATTTCAACTTGTCTATCTTTTTTTTTTCTTTTTTCCCTATTTTCTTAATAATTGTTTTCTTATACCTGGCAGGCCCTGGCAGGTTTCAAGCTGAGGGATAATTGTTTAGATTTGGTGATTAAAGAGATTATTTCTTGGCTCCTTCCTCCTCGTTGCTTTGTTCTACTGGTTGCTTATATACGACCCGTAACTTTCTTTCCCTACCGCCAAAAAGTCCATCAGAACTGCTGCCCCAGGCAGAGTCTCCCTCCGTCATCGACATCGCCGCCGCGCCGATATTTATTCCTTCAGGGGAATTTGGAACGAGATTGGACAGCGATCAACTTTTTCCCCCGAAGGTCTCTTCCCCCTTCGGTTTGCCCTTGTATACTTTGGAACAGAGACTGCTGTTCTTGACCCCCGCAATGGACCGCTAACCACCGTTGCTGGGTCGCGCGACATTGTTGGTCAAGGCACTCCTTTGTTTGAGAGACAGAGAAGTCATTTACTCCTAAATCCCATTGCGATTGGGATTCCACATCGAATTTACCGCCATTCAGCCACCAGTTTCTTGCCCTAGGTGCATCTGTATCTCGTTCGGGGACGACACAGTCGGAGAGTCTGAGGATGCCGGAAAAGCTGCCGGGCCAGCCATATTCAGGGAAGGGGCAGTCGCGTAAAGTTCAATCGAGGTCGTCGAGCCCGTCTCGACATGAAGATTCAGGCTCAGGAGGTATGTTCACCGGGCGCGATTGAAATGTTCTCATTGCAGCTGGCCGCTAACGTCTTTTCGTTGTACTGCAGCAGAAGGTCCCCCACGCAGACGGTTGCAAAAACACGCCTCAACACCATTTCTTTCAGAAGCATCCTATTCGTCAACCGAGACAAGGGGATCAAACTCAAATGTGACCAGCAGGAGGAGGTTCTCTATTCGAGATCAGAAGGCACCACAAGGCCCGCGACCGCAGGAGCCTGCCCGAAGAAGGTAGACGGAGCTTTCTCCCTTCATTTTCCCCCATTTGTTTTGGTGCCCTTGCTACTCCCCTACACGCATATCCGCCAGGCCCAATACTCTGGATTTTTGGTATATTGTATGATTCTGATCCATATCGTTATAGCAATCACCCCGGGTCGTTCTTCCACTCCGTTAACTCGTCAATCGATTCCACGAATGATTCGACGGAGAGTAGCAAGTTCCCTGCCAGCCTGCGATCCACCAGCATGGGCAATCTTTTGAAACCAGGCCTTAACCAGACTCCACCCGAGAACGCAGAATTCCTCACGCCCGTCAATTTCGACGACTTCCACAACAGCATAATGACGGAATCAAGTCTCAATCAGTTTCCCTTGCCCCGAAACGCGGGCACTGCTTCAGGCTTTCCCCCAATCAATTCCGCCCCGAATAAGAACGATGAGAATGGCATGTCTAAACGGTTGAGGAGCAACTCCATTAGGAGGAAAAGTGTGACCATTAGCAACCCTCCGAGCGACTCGGTGCCCTCCCGACCACCGACATTGGCTACAGCTACTCGAAGTCGTCGTCAAAGTCTCGCCCAACCGTCAAATGCAAACAACGCTGCTCCACGGACTTCACGTAAGTCCATAGGACAAGGTTCGATTCCTTCTGCGAGGCGACAAAGCTTGTCGAGTAGAAAGGCTAGTGCCGACACAGGCCACAACTTTCTGCATCCACGCCCTCAGAATCTTGACTCTATGCCAAATGATGCAACGAGACTACCAACCAGTGCACGAAATATCAAAGCCAAATCCCTACAGCCTCCGTCGAGGGAACCTCGTGAAACCTTCCTGACGACCACTGGATCTGCGGATCATTCCAGATCTTCGTCAACAAATGCCGTCCGAACGCCAGTCAAGCATGCACAAGCGCCGCTTACCACCCCATCGTCTACATCAAAGAGGGTTTCTGTAATGCCCCCGCACGCGACAGGCTTAGGGGCTCGTACTATAAGTCCGACGGATGCACGACGACTGAAGCGTATGTCAACGGCACCTCAGGCGCCTCCTTTGCCTTATACTCCTCCGACTCAGACCGATACATTACCCGTCCGTCCTCGTTCATGTGCACAGTCGCCGTCTTACATTCCTCGGAAAAGCGTGACTCCTTCCTCCAATAGAACTACCCCTGATCCATCCCGTAAATCCTATAGCTCTGGGTTATCTTTGTCGTCGACCACAAGTCATAACTCGGCAAGGAATTCCGGGGGATCATTACAAACCCGGCTTGCTCAGGCTGCATCGTCTTCTAGGCTCCCTACACCTAAACCTCGTGTAGAGCATGCTGTGGCAGCAGACGAGGAAGTACCCCCTGTTCCTGCTATTCCTAAGGCCTACGAGTCTCCGAAGGGGGAACCCGAGCAACCAAACTGTACAGCTCCTCGCAAATCACACCTTCCGGTCGATATTGCCATTTTGAAAGGCAAGTCGGACACGGAGTCGGACACAAACCCTACAGCTAGTGCAACTGAAGACGATACAACAGATCTGCCTGCCAAACGATCGTTAAAGACTCCAGAGGCCAAGCACAAACCAACCGCTAGCTTGGGCAAAAGGAACCTTCAGCCACTGAAATTGCCGCCGTTGAATTTACTACCTTTGGGTACACCAATGACTAACAAGATTCAAGCCATGAAAGACCGAGAGGAGGATGCGAAATCACGTACACCAACGAGTCAGGTTGTCGCAAAGACTCCAAGTACCCCTCTTACTGCCTCGAAAGCTAATTTCTTTGCGGTCGAAGACGAGGCTGTACCACGCACACAAGCGAGAAGCAGCACCGCACATTTTGTTGTGAGTACGTCTTCGGGTGCTACGTTGAGGACAGCCAGCAGCTCCAGCGCATTGGCATCTTTCGACAACATGCCTGCTGGGGTAAGGACAAACTCGCCTTATGTCTCATACTCGCTCCCGAAGAGTAATAGTGATGCCAATAATCTCCGCCAGAAGGCCAGTGCGGATTACTCTTACAGGGTATCACAGTCTCACAAATTGACGGGTCCACGCCCTCAAACCCAATCATCTGCTTTCTCTTCCAATGCAGAAACGATCAGCCAGATCTCTACCCCGTCTGATCCTGACAACAACAGCACTTCTGGGTCCTCTCTCAAGAATAAGATTACGATAACCCGCCATAGGAGCAATTCCCGACCTCAACAGGTAACGGACGCAAGTACAGACCCCACTAAACTCGAGCCCATGCCGCCACCTAAGCTTCCAGCGTCTGCAACCTGGAATAGCCTATCAACGGCCAAGAATACAAGTCCCACGCTGAAGCCAAGCTATTTCAAGTCAAAGCGACAGGTCTCTGTATCAAACGCAGCAGGCTCGCCAATACGGAAACCCAGTTTCAGCAGCGAACAGAGTCTTTCTTTAGAGCACAGCATCTCGAACGAGTCGCGTAAGAGCGATGTCGCGCCCCACCGTTCTGCATCATCAATCCTCTCCCCAGTTCACAGGATCCTCAACTCTGCGAAGTCGAACGCTGCCGCTAACTCCACTTCGCCCGATCCAAATGTTGACCCCGATATTCAGATTGCTGACGACGAGATGCGGAAACTTAATGGCAGGCGAAAGGATTTTGAAAACGCGGCGAAAGAGTTAGATGAACTGCGTCGCAAAGCTGGACCGAAAGAACGTGTCAGCCCAGCTCAGGCTCTCAAAATGGCAAATCTTAATATCTTTGAGCGTGGTGAGATTATTGACTTCAAAGATATCTTTTTCTGCGGAACTCAACACGCAAAGAAACATGTCGGGGACTTGAATGCGCAGGCCGCAAACTTCGGCTACGACGATGATCGCGGTGATTACAATATTGTCATTGGGGATCACCTAGCCTACCGATACGAAGTCATCGATGTTTTAGGCAAGGGAAGCTTTGGTCAAGTTCTAAGATGTGTTGATCACAAAACGGGCGGGTTAGTTGCTGTGAAAATCATCCGCAACAAGAAGAGGTTCCACCAGCAAGCCTTGATTGAGGTTAATCTGCTTCAAAAGCTCAAAGAGTGGGATCCTCATCGTCGGCATAGCGTTGTCAATTTCACGCAAAGCTTCTACTTCAGGGGTCACCTCTGCATATCTACAGAACTGCTCGGAATGAATTTATATGAGTTCATCAAAGCACACGACTTCAAAGGTTTCTCTGTCAAGCTCATTCGGCGTTTTACGAAACAGATTTTGAGCACACTGGTCCTTCTCCATACCAAGAAAGTCATCCACTGCGATCTCAAGCCCGAAAACATTCTACTTGTGCACCCAATGAGTTCCGAGATCAGAGTCATCGATTTTGGCTCTAGCTGTTTCGAGAACGAGAAGGTGTATACCTATATTCAGAGTCGCTTTTACCGCTCACCAGAAGTCATTCTTGGCATGTCATACGGTATGCCCATTGATATGTGGAGTCTGGGATGTATCCTGGCTGAGCTGTACACGGGCTATCCCATCTTCCCGGGAGAGAATGAACAGGAGCAGCTTGCTTGTATCATGGAGGTTTTTGGCCCTCCAGAGAAACACTTGATTGAGAAGAGTACACGGAAGAAGCTCTTCTTTGATTCCTTGGGCAAACCGAGATTAACAGTCTCCTCAAAAGGTCGACGTCGGCGCCCAAGCTCGAAGGAGCTCAGGCAGGTCCTGAAATGCGACGACGAGGCTTTCCTTGACTTCATCTCCCGCTGCCTTCGTTGGGATCCGTCTCGCCGACTTAGCCCGCACGATGCTCTCAGACATGAATTTCTCACAGGGCTCAAGATGCCCTCGCGGCCCAGGACATATACAGCGAGTTTGAATTCCCCAGCTAAGCGGGGGAACACTCTATCAACCCCGTCATCAGGTCGCCCACTTCCAGAACCACCTAGCACGAGTCTCAAGCATGGCACCTTTCTCCGTAGTCGAGATGTCTCAGGTAGCTCTCCAGTCAAGCCGATAGCCGGAAAGCGCCACTCAACTGTGAGTGGTGTCCAACCGTCCACCCCCAAGCGAAGTACAACTACTTCTACAACGACTCCTGGGTCAGCATTGCCTCGCGTTGCTGGTAGGAGCATCAGTGGGAAGCCAGATCTCGCAACAGCGGCGGCTGCGACCAGCCTGGTGAGTTGAATACTCTACTCATATTGGCGTACGGACTGCTAACCTTCATTAGAGAACTAAATAGGGCCGAGTGCTAACTTCTCCCTATTTTCTTCGTTTGCCCTTTCCTTTTGTTTTTCTTCTTTCCATTGCATTTTTGTAATAATAATTGTTTGACTATTAAGTTGCATAAAGAGGTCGGGAATGTTTGCGGTTTTGTACCCCTTTCATGATTCAAACTGCGCCGATAGAGGTGGACGAGGAAAGAGTTCATCTTATACCCTTGAGCATTTTCATGCTATTACACGATGCCTTCGTTTTGTCTCCTTCTTTGAGCATACTGTTTGCAATTCTGTTACGACCTCAGAAGCCAGCTTATTGCTCCACATTGCATGTCTAACCCCTTGTCGCTCGCTGACTCTAATTTTCTCTTGGATCTTATCATTATTTTCTTTTTTTCCCTTTTCTACTCGTTCCATATCTGCCCGATGTTTTACCCCATATCGATGGACTCGATGGTATTTTCCATTCACACAGGACATTGTATATTTACACATCTTTTTGTTCTGTCACTTCACTTTTCAGTTCTACCCATGTTCTTGGATGGTGGGAGTGTCAGGAGTCACGGGTTATGTTAGAATCAGAGCACCGATGCGTATACTGACGAAGACAAGTATAGTTAATTATCATAAGCATTCATAGATTCTGGGTGGTGTACATATATAATGGAAATTCAAGGAATGGACGGGTGGGTCCATCGCAACGAGAAAGATGTTCTTATACCGATCAATAAACAGTTGGTACTAGTATTTTGAAGGTGGTCGACAATAAACAAATACATCGATCAGATAAGATCTCCCGATAAGCAGCGAATTGAATACTTGGCCTCAAGCGCGCAACTGCTCCGCCTCCATTGTTCTTCCCCGACCCATTCATTCCCACCCTAACACCCACCCCTCGGCCCAATTGGCGTCCATTCATTTTCCCTTCCTGTTCAATTCTCATTCATGCCTTGACCGATTGATTTTATCCACCCCTTGCGATACAGATTCGTCATGAATGGCTTCGCATCGCACGGCCTCGACGAGGATGCGTTCGGGGAGAAGTCCGGGCTGCAGGGCGGCCTGAAGACATTCGATGCATTCCGTACGTCTCTTGGACTCAACAGAAGCCCGCCGTAAATAAATGTAAAGAAAGAAAACTAACGTACACGATCCCAGCCAAAACCAAACCCGACTACACAGCTCCCTCCCGCCGCGGCGGCCAATGGACTGTCCTGATCCTCCTCATCTGCAGCGTCTTCTCCCTCTCCGAATTCAAAACCTGGTTCAAAGGCTCCGAAAACCACCACTTCAGCGTCGAAAAGGGCGTCTCTCACGACCTCCAGCTGAACCTGGACATCGTCGTGCAGATGCCCTGCGACGCCCTGCACGTCAACATCCAAGACGCCTCCGGCGACCGCATTCTCGCCGGCGAGCTGCTGAAGAAAGACCCCACCAGCTGGAAGCTCTGGACGGACAAGCGCAACTACGATCACGAGTATCAGACGCTTACTCGCGAGGATCCGAGCCGGTTGGAGGCACAGGAGGAGGACGCCCATGTGGGCCATGTGCTGGGTGAGGTGAGACGGAACCCCAGGAGGAAGTTCCCCAAGGGCCCCAAGCTGCGGAGGGGAGATGCCGTCGATTCGTGTCGCATCTATGGGAGTCTAGAGGGGAACAAGGTACAGGGAGATTTCCATATCACGGCGAGGGGCCATGGGTATAGAGATATGGGGGGGCATTTAGATCATTCGAGTATGTTTTCTTTTCCTTCTTTTCCCTCCTTTCTGCACACACCCTCTCTCTCTCTCTCTCTCTCTCTCTCTCTTCCTTTGTGATTTGCGTATGTTATAGAATCTACGATCAAGACTAATGCATCACAGCATTCAACTTCTCCCACATGATCACCGAACTCTCCTTCGGACCTCACTACCCAACCCTCCTCAACCCCCTCGACAAAACCATCGCCACCACAGAATCCCACTACTACAAATACCAGTACTTCCTCTCCGTCGTCCCCACGATCTACTCCAAGGGCCACCAAGCCGCCCTCGACAGCACCCTCTACACCTCCAAACCCAGCCACTCCAAGAACGTCATCTTCACAAACCAATACGCAGCCACCACCCAGGGCGCCGAGCTGCCCGAAAACCCCTACTACATCCCCGGCATCTTCTTCAAGTATAACATCGAGCCGATCCTGCTCATGATCAGCCAGGAGAGGACCAGTTTCTTGTCGCTGTTGATTCGGCTCGTGAATACCGTTTCCGGGGTCATGGTCACGGGGGGTTGGCTTTATCAGATTGCGGGGTGGTCTAAGGAGCTGCTTCGGAGAGGGAGGAAGAGGAGGTCAGAGGGTGTGCTTGATGGGAAGCTGGCGGATGAGTAGTTGATGTCTATTCCTTCTTGTCGGTTTGTTGTTTGGGTTGTTGGGTTGTGATTGAACTGAATGGTATCTTTTGTTTTCGGTGTTTTTTTGTTTGTACTATTTCCCCGTTTGTTGTTTGTCTATGGATTGCTTGGTAGATATCATCAGTACAGCTACAAGAACTAGGACACTCGGACAGAGAGAAAAAATGAAGAATAAAACATCATCAATTGGGATATCTACGCATCCGCCGTACTCCATCCAACCACAGTCCGTGAACGTGAAACATGAACCTTCTCATAAAACAATACATAAAGAGATGACCAGCTTAAGTATGAAATATAAGTCTAGATCTCGAATATCTCACCCATTCCCACTCCGGCCCCTTCCGCTCCAGCCCGGCTGTCAACCAAATCCAGTCGCCAGCCATGCCAGTCCTTGAGCTTCTTCTTGATCTCGCGGACCCATTCGACGCGCTTGCGTGCTTCCTCCTCGGCCTGGGCACGGGCAAACTCTGCCTCGTCGAACTCGTCGTCAAAATTCTCCTCGGATAGGAGTTCGAGACTGCCCCGTGCAGCCGGGGGGTGCTGTTTATTCGAGGGCGCGCGGGCTCTGTTCCCGTGTGCGTTACCTCCGGTGAAGGCGGCGAGTCCGCTAGAGAGGACAGTCGAGAAGGACGAGTGCTGCTGCATGCTGCGTCGGCGGGCATGCTCAGGAGCTCCACCGATGAGGTCAACATCGTCGAACGCATTGGCAGCCTGGTTGGCATTGGAAGAATAAGCGACGCTCGGTTCACGGCCATGAGAAAGTTCCTCGCGTTTCTCCTGCCATACTCCGCGCCGGAGGTCGAAGATTTCGCCTTCCAGGTCGCGGATTCGGCGCTCCAGACGGGACCGTTCTTCGTCCTCGAGTTCATCGATGCCGTCGTCGTCCGCACCCACGGCATTGCGCTTGCGAAGCGTCTCCTGCTCTTCTTTCAACCGGAGAGTCTCGTTCTCGGCGCTGGCTAGTCGGCTCCGGAGCTGGGTAACCTCTTGTTCTGTCTTCTCGCTCTCGCGCAGGCGGGCTTGGTGCCGCGTTTCCGACTCCTTGTGCAGGTTGCCCATTGCTTCGATCTTTTTCTCGAGCGTTTCAATCTTCTTCTCGGATTCGGATTTGCTTTCCTTTGCTTCCGAGAGCTCCCGTTCTAGGTTCTTGATCTGGGTTTCTGTGGAGGTCTTATCTACTCCCTCCTTGACGGCTTTCTCTGAGGCACGGGTTAAGGCATTCTTGGTCTCCGTGAGTTCACTCTGCGCACTCTCCAGCGCTGCTTCACTGCTTGACAGCTTCTGTTCCAGAGCCTTGATCTGCGCCTCGTGGGCACTACTGGATGAAGACTGATCCGTAAGCTGAGCGCGCAGGTTCGAAATCTCAAGCTCCATAGCCTCAATAGTAGCAGACTTCGACTCAAGCTGCTGCACAAGATCCGCAGGAGGGGAGTCCGCCGAGGCGGGCGACGCAGTACTCCGATGCGTCTTCTGCAGATGCGAGTTCTGTCTCTGGAGTGAGGCGATCTCCGCTTTCTATAACCACCGTCAGTGACAAACCCAACATCGTAACCATACCCATATTCACATCCACATCACACCCGTGGCAAGTAAAAGAAAGAAAAAAAAATTAAATAGAAAAAGGGGGAACACTAACCAGCTCCTCAATCTCCCCCACCTTCTCCTCAGCCTTCGCCAACTTCTCCTTCAACTCCGCAACATCGACACTCGCCTCGCGGAACTCCTCCAACTGCTCCTCCGTCTTCTTCCACCGGCCCGTCGCCTCCTCAAGCTCCTTCTCTAACCGCCGGTTGTCCTTCTCCACCTCTTCAATCCGCCCCGCCTGCTTCCGATACACCTCATGCACAGACTCCCCGTCCGCCGTCAACGGCGGCAAAGAAGGTGACTTCAACAAGGCAGATGGCGGCGACGCACTACCCTGCGAAACGGACCCCTTCCGGAAGGAAGAGGATCTCATCTTCGATTGGATCGACAGCGAAGGCTGGCGGCCGTGGCGCGACTGCGTGTCTGCTTTCACGGCGGGCTGGGGTTCAGTTGAGGGGGAAGGGGAGGTGGGTTGTTCGGCGGGGGGTTGTTCAGGTTCATCTTGCGTCTGTCGTTGTTGTTGTTGGTCTTCAACCTTATCTTGAGTGTCGTCTGTTGGCTTCGGTTCCGATTCTTCTTTCGACTCCTCCGGGGATTGTGGCTGCTGTCCTTCTTCCTCTTTTCCTTGTTGTTTCTCTTCAGTACTCGGCGAAGACTCCTTCGTCTCCTTAGCCGTAGAAGCCTCAGAGCCAGACGTCTTCTTATTCGCCTTTTTCTTCTGCTTCTGTAGTTGCGCGACCTGTTCGAGTTAAGTTAATCGCTTATTCGCCGAGTCGTGTTTGATTCCAATGGAACAAAAACGCCTTGGGGTGAGATAACAAGAACGTACCCTCTTTTTCGCGGCCGCTAGCTTCTCGGCCTTGGTGCGCTCTTCGTCGTCGGCCATTTTGGTCTAGAGATAGAGGAAGGGAAAGGGAGTGATGTGGGTTAATTTGTTTTGGGTTGGTGAGATTTGGGCGTGGATGTATATGCGGATCGGAAGGGACAGCTTTCCCCGTCGTGCACGGACCAATTTGTTGTTTCTTTGGTCGTGGTAGGTACCTGATTGTACCTTATGGAATGTTGTCCTTCCAGATAGATTGTTCTATGGGAGTTTTTTGTTTTTGTTTTTTTTTTGTTTTTTCTTTTTTCTTTTTTGTGAGAAAAGGGGTTTAAAGGTTATAATTATGGTATCTTCCCTTTTCTTTGGATGTACTTTTTGTTTCTCTTCTAGTACTGGGTTCTACTCTCTAAACTGTTCACTCGGATGTGCGATACCATAATTAATTCAGTGATCAAGAATTGTAAATACAAGAACAGAAAGGAAGACAACGCCCCGGGCGCGCCGCAACGAATTGGGTATGCAGCGCAAAATCATCAAAACCTACACAGCGAAACAACGACTTCATCAATAGGGGCCCTATTATCATCCCTGCCGGTCACCAAACGCCCCAAACCTGTGCAGATGCGGCCGACATTGTAAACAACTGAGCAAAACGGTGACAATATCCATATTGAATCGAAGAAAAGGGGGCATCAGCGGAAGATTAAAAGGTAAGACAGAGAAGCAGTAATATGTCGTAATGGGTTGAATCGTAAGTTAAACCTCCATGGAGTCGGCAATTTCCTCACTCATAGCACGTACCGTGCCCTTGCTACCGGATCTAGATCGGAATTCCTCGTCGCTGAGCACGTAGTTGTCGTATTCGTCCACAACGGGTCGGGCGGGCTTGCCGACATGCTCTTCGTCGGACTCACTCTCGTCTTCCAAGTGCACGCCTTCGCCGAGCCAATAGCGGGCCCGCTTGCTTGATCCGAGGTGGTCCGGCGTGAGATAACCATCGTCGTATGTCCTCTTTGCGGTCGGCGTAGCAACTCCATCGCTAGGCGTGTGGCTGAGAATCGGGATGGCTCTGAGGTAGAGATAACAGACACGCTTCCGGATACGGTTAAAAAAGAAGTAGTGTAGACTCCAGATCGCTCCGTCGTCCGCATCGGAAGGGTCCTCCTCCGGGGAGTAAGAGTAGATCGAGCACTCCTTGAGTGACAGCTGCTCATCAATTATTCGCCACATCCTCGGCCCCCATGTAGCAGAGGCCCCGGCATTGTATGACCCCGAGATGGTCACTGGGGATGGGGGAGCGAGGTCGATGGCTTCACGTGGCCGGAGATTAAACAGCGTGGAATCAATCGTATTCATCACTCTTTTGAGATTTCTCTCGCGGTGGAAGTCGGACGGGCGCAGCACATGAGAAAAGTCGTAATCTGGATGGCTTGCGTTCAGAGTTGCGATCAGATAAGCGAAGGTCCTCCGGCTGGAATGGTCACTCAGGGGTCCGAAGGGGCTAGACCGGGATAGATTGAGCGAGGCGGCCGCGTCCGACGCATTTGGAGGCGACAACGACGCGGACAGGCGAAGAGTTGATTCATACTGTGCTTCAAGCGACTGTTCGATGTTCTTGTACAACTTGCGGTCGGCACGTGCTGCCTTTGTCGTGTAAAGATCGCAGCCACCGAGGATGTGGCAATCGCCAGTGTCGAAGTTCAGGGAACTCGTCACGTCCTCGATCTCTGGAAGGGGAAGGAACTAGTGAAAGCAAAACGTTAGTACGGGATAAGGGATATGGATTTTGATATTGAGGAATATTGGATGCGAACCTTCATCTTTGACAATAGCGGTCAAGTGTCCTGATCGATCGATCCCAAGCGCAAGATGAACAAGGCGATTCACGATCTGTAAAAGACAAGAGGGTCCCTTCTTGCGACTAGCAGATGAACCAGGTATCAACGGTATCCCAGGCGATAAGGCAGCGTCCACGTCGGCTGAAACGTAGCCGATCGGAGATAAGAGGTCGTGAGTTGGCAACAAGCGCTAGACTGGCTGGGCAGTTATTCAATGGACAGCAGGTAAGTAGTTTGAGTGAATCACGGCCAGATAGCCATGACAAATAAGAGGAGATAGAAAGGAAGATGGAAAGAGATCCTGGAGGGACACTTGGGGGATGGACTATCGTACGGCAATTGGGGGCCTGGGGGGGAGTTGCGCGTTTGCGCCCCCCGGGTCGGAGCGGGTCACGTGGCGGCGGTGTCGGCCAGTGATATCATTCACCCACCTCACGGGGGCCGATCCAGAACACGGGGGTCAGTACCAAACATTGGGATGAAAGTCACTTTCCTTGGTTGAATCCAATAATTGAAGCAAGTCCATAGCCATGTGGTATTAATTAGTGGTCGTGAACTGGGTAGAAAACAACGCCTAGTATGTACGTCCAACGCCAATATGTCCTCCCAATATTCCCCAAAGCGGAAATCCAAATATAGAAACACAGGAACGCTCAGTTGCCGAATGTAAAGGCCGCTACATAATCTTCGTAACCACATCTTCCTCAACCTAGACGGCGGACAGTCCATATTAGCGTCGATCGACGGTAAGGCCAAAGGAGGATCGGAACGCACGAGATGCAGAAAACGACCGCGGTGGCAAAAAGGATTGCAGGCAAAACAATTGGGTGATATATAGCAAGGTGGAGCGGAATAGCAACGCGCGCAGAAGATAACCACAAGCCCAAGGAACAAGGGGCAGCAAAGAGAACCAAGCATCAAAAGAGCAGACCAACACAGCCTCGGCAGAGCTCTGACGATGGATACGATCGCACCCGATCGTAGTACCCTCAGACCCCTGCCCACGTTTATGCGAACTTCTAAGCAAGATACGGCGGTCAATAACTCACCTCCATGTCTTCCAAGCTGTCCTGTTGACTGATGCACCGCAGAACATTCTTCTTGCTGCTCTCCTGCATCTCTCCCGCCAACAGCAACTCGTCTAGGATGAAGTATGCCTTTTGGAAGTTGAAAATAATGTCCAGCTCGCAGACGTTACCGTAATACTTGTCCATCTGCTCGACGTAACGATGCACGACTTCGAGGGTGATCAACTCGTTGTCGGTCGAGGCGCATCCGGCGATGAAAAAGAGGGAAGCATAACGGCGGTAAACCACCTTGCTGTCTGGCAACAAATGTCGGTTAGGAGGGGTGGTGGTGGGATAGCAAGTATATAGGTGGCTGGATCCGTACCCTTATACTCGAGGAAGTTGCACATCCTGGTCCGACGGGACAGGACGAGCTGGGTCACATCCTTGATGATCTTGGCCTTCTCCTTGGGAGAAAGAGTGGTGAACCATTTGGCCAGGCGCTGAGAGAAAGAATTCAGTCAGATCCAGCCGAACTTCCGGACCGGTCAAAAAGTTGGGTGGGCCACGAGGGTAAACGAACCACTTTGCCCTGACGGGAGAGGAGAATCAAGTAGCTAGATGGGGAAATTAGCGCACTCCCGTTGCCAATAATTGGCAGGGCAAGCTCACTGAATCGCCATTGTGTGCGGTGGGTGTGTGATTTGTTGATGATGGGGAGCGAAAAAGGCCACGAAAAGGAGTTGGTGGAGGGAAGAACACAATTAAACACACTCCCACCAGAGCTTCTGGAGAAATTCTTGCACGGGCGCGCGGAGGGGGTTGTTTTTTTTTGGCTACGTTCTCGCACGCTGCCCCGCCTGTCAGGAACAACTTCACTCTCTCCTTATTTATTTGACTTCCTTCAGTCATTGTTGGCTAATTTCGAATCTTTTAAGGAATCCTTCAGGAAACGATTGTCACGGTACACATCCTGCCTTGTTGCTCAACACCACCATTGTTGTGTATGTATGTTTGTATGTATGTATGTATGTACATACACAACAGAACCCTTTACATTCAACCCAAACACAACAAAAACAACAACTCAAATACACTCGAGGACATCACACTCGGCTGGTGCTCCGACGTATAGCCCCAAGTTGATACACGTGGGATGATTTAATCATCTTTCCTCTGACGCCAAGCGACAGATTCTCGGTAGTTTCACGCTAAGCTTCAGAACTGGAGCACTCGAACCCGGTCGAAACGATTGGTCGCACTTTGGCTGGCAACATCGTACCCAGTAACATATCGAAGCAATTAAGACAACATTTTTTATTCCCAAAGTCCAATTTCAACATTAGGTATTGAACATACGCATTGCACTTAATAATACGAGTCCGAGTCAGACCACATCATACTTCGATTGGCCCCGAGACGACAAGGAAGTATTCAAGTTCGAGACATCCATCCCTCAACTATTGAACTCAAAGATCAAACAAAGCCCGACAGGGCAAATACCGGAGTATAACAAAATTGTTAATAATGCAGACTGGGAGTTCGTAAGATTGGATAGTACTGCGGCGAACCAGTAAAGAGGGGTATCACTAGTACTTGATTTATCTTCATGCGTAGACCCGAACAACAAGAAATATATTCCATCACATCCACTATACGGAGTACTCGGGGCCCATATCCCAGTCGTACACACCCACGCCATACCAGGCAACGCACCTATAACATGTTCCATATAGCCCGCGGGCCTCGTTCCTTCGTCAAATCATGTAAAATCCCGCATGCTACTGTAAACCCATAGTCCGCTCTTGATCACACAACCAGTCAATAGTCCCCCGGTACAAAGAGCCACACCAAGACACACCAGCTCCAGATACCCTAGATCCGTGATATCATAGAAAGTATAATTCAGGTATGGAGGATACGTGCACGCCTTCCAAGGCCGATTACCTTCACCGGGGCTATACTTTTCTCTCCCAATGGTTTTGCCCATACGCGGAACATGTTTGAAGTCAAAAAGAGTGCGTTCTCGAAGCACTATCCCTTGGTACAAGAGGTCTCGGGAGAGCTGATATATAGAAATCAGTACAACTAAGTCACTCAGAATGCCAGATCTGTAAACCTTACCTTAATCATGAACTCATCAAACATAGGAATCATCCGCTGCAGACAAGCAAGCCCTAGAACAAGAACACGGCAACCGGTAAACATTAGGTAGTAGAAGAACCCGGGCTTCCCAAGCTCAAGATCGTCGCAGATCTCGTCCCCGTTAATCCACCGACTACCGGCCTCGATGAACTTCTTCGAGACATGGAACGGGGCAGGGAGGTTCGCCACGCATTCAACAAAATTATAAGCGACTACGCGAGACGTCTCCGTGGTATGCAGCTCGTGGGCGACCATGCTCTCCATTGTGTGCTTGCTCTTCTTCACCGTCTCGAAGTATGACGTCGGTGTTCCAAGAAGGTAGCCAAGGTATCGAAAGAGGGCGATGTAGTCTTTGACCTCGTCAGGGGAAGGGGTGATCTTAAACCTAGGCAGTTGGAGCCACATTGGATTGCAGCAGAAAGTGCTAATGGAGTGAATGCTATCTAATGTGTTGACAGGAACACCATAACGGTCGATATCGAAATAATGGGGTTTCGTGCGACACAGATGTAAGATGCGCTGTCGGACGGATGAATGGAGAAGTCGGACCCGGACGGTTGCAATATGGCCTTCGCCGCCGGGCTGGATGGCAGCGAGGTCATGAGTAACATGAACTAACCATTGAAAGGTCTCGAGCAATCTCTTTAGCAACATACGAGTTGAGAAGCTGCCAGTCCGAACCAGGACTTCTACGACGCCGGAGGCCGCCTTAACATAGAACCCGAGTCAGTCATACAATGTTCAATGGATTCACGTTGGTCAAGGGAGCTATACAGAATTTTCTGCTACAAACCCTTGTAGTGCGAAGCCGACAATGTTGGCAATTATATAGCGATGCAAAAACCGCTGGCCTCGCTCAAGTTGCTCCCAGTTAACCCAGTCTGGGACCGTGTGAGTTTCGTTCCAGAATTGGGTTAAGACCTCATCCTCCTCATGATGATCTCGGAGGATAATGTATAGATCATTTGAGGGTGGACTGGTTCCTTTTGCCTTGCTATCTTCTAGCAACGAAGATCGTATGAACTGAAGCTGCTCCAGAGCTGCAGCGCCCAATGTGTCAAACTGCTGACGCAGAGGCTCTGCCTTCTCTCGAGAGAGATGGCTATCCGTCCAAGTAAAAGAGTATCCCCATTTGCGTAAATGGTCACCAGGGTTCGAGTGGGGAGGCAGAGTGGTGTCCATCTCGTTAATGACTGGAGGATAAACTCGAGGATATCAATGTAAACCAAGCTGGGAGCATTTTCGGTCACTGAGGGCAAGATGCGAGTATTTATGCTCATCTACTTGCTATAGAGCCAGTACTACATCTGAGTTCAGCATACACTGTCAAGTAAAGACGACATCCGGCCGAGTCTGTCCTTCTACACATCCCGAGACGACCCAGCCTCTGTTCTGTCCCCACATTCGTCAGGTTTTGGTGCCCTGGAGTCCGCTGTACACAGCAGATGCTAGTTTCGCACCCGGAGGCCATCCGAGGCCATAGAAGGGGATTACAAACCAAGTAGATCGGCGCCGAGCGCCTTATAGTCCAATTGTGTCGAACTACGTATACAGATCGGGGTGTTGTATTGCTTTTTCGAGGAGCACGGTGGGGATATTGGCCAACATTGTGTGGGCTGACGGGAGGATGGGATGATAAGAAATCATATGAAAGAAACCAATATCCACGCGCAACTATACGTGGCTGTACTATTCCATTGGAACCGCACACAGAACCATGACTTGGTTGATGCCCCATAAAGCGCGCTAAATCCATTAATGAAGAAGGATTCCCCACTAGACTCGCTCCATCGCGGAGGAGGAGGGATAAGAGATCCGCCCAGGCCTATAATTCAATAAATCGAATTAGTTTGAGCGACAATAAAGTTTCAGATATGGCTTGAACAGGGAACCAGGATCGCCATGGACGAGATCCCGATCTAAAGATCGATAGTGCATAAACCTCAGCCTCTGTGGCGAAGTATAGGCGGCAATGTTGGGACGATCATTTGTGAACTGTGGCTATCAACTATTCCACCTTCTTTATCTTGTCTGCAGGTAGCAGAATCAGGTAATGGGCATCCCTTGAAAACACATCATCGGTGTAGCCCGTGGGCCAGGCTTGTCCTTTCTGGACAGACCTTGACATCATTGAATCTTTCTTGTGGATTTGGCGATGATCCAAGGGATGGCTAGTCTTGCCTGGAAAATGAGTATCAAAAGTCGCAGTATTTAAGGATGGCAGCGGCCAAGAGAGTACCTGTTTCATTAGTTTATTTGCCTTTACCATGGAATCACCACCACTTTCTGACGAAATGATATTGCCAATGAGGAAGGCTGCGCGTAGAGATGCCCATGTCTCTGTATGCCTTCCTAACATGTTTGTGCTCTTTTTATCGGAGAAGCCAGTCATCAACAGGTATTATGAAACCGTAAAGGAAGAGTCCGAGTTATGGATAGCAAGGTCAGTACGTCCTACAGAGACATAACATGCAGCACTAAACGGGTGCATTCCAGAATATGCGCGTTTGGAAACAGGACTCGACGAGTTATCACGAACTGCGATTTTTCGTACTTCTGCTCAATTGTAGTACCAGATGCTTCGCCTTTAGAGCTTCGGACAGTATGTGATTGGGGCAACTGGGTATGTGTATCGATCATAACACGATGCCCTTTGAAGACATCGAGCTGCTAACCTGTGCCGGTCGGCATCACCTCTAGGTCTTTCCATTCGATGATAGTGAGCTTTGCAGTTATTCTCTTTCTAGTCAAAATTTACTAAGTCATTTCACTCCAGTGTTCGACAATGGAGGTCTAAAGGATGACCCCATACAAGCTCAACAATTGGTCAACAGTCTCCTAAATGGTATGCAAGATGATGGGACTGTGTCAGACGATGGCGAAGAGCACCCTCTAGTTCAAGTTCATAATTCTGTATGGTGTCGCCTTGCCAAGGTAACTACCTTCTGCTCTTTTGTTCCCCTTTTACATGCCAGGAGAGCTTTGCTAACGTTCATAGACTTCTCCAGTTGGTATGACCCTCCAGACTGAGACTGCTTGGGCCCGGGCTAAGGAATCATCAAGGTGTCCGTCGCAGGTTTGCAAAGGGCATGAGAGATTACTGTACTGGAGCCATCGAACAAGTCCATAGTTGTTCTAGGGGCAAACACCCCACACTAGACGAGATGCTCGCATTACGAAGACAGTCTGCCGGCGTTTCACCTCTCTTTGCCCTAGTTGAGTACGTCACCGCAGTCACTCTAGGTATGTTCGCGCAAAACCGCTAACAATGAGCAGGTATGGCCACAAGCTCCATATCCCAGACTCGGTCTTCGAGACTAGAAGCATCAAGGAGATAGAAAGAATCGGAATTGACCTCGTTCTATTGTGAGTGTTAACCTAAAAGAGAGATGAACCAAAAGCTCAACGACCATAGGCAAAACGATATTCTCTCGTATTGCAAAGAAGAGGTCAGTGCCTGTGAAACATCTATAAAGCCAGACCATCCAGGATATTTCTGCTGACGTACTGGAACTGTAGAAAGAAGGTGTAGCTCACAACATGGTTGCCATTTGTCGACGCGCGGGAATGCCCGCACAGATGGCCTTTGACCACATTGGTGGTATGCTCCTTTCCCGTTATCATGACTGGTACCTTGCGCTAGCAGACCTACCCAGTTGGGGCGAGAGTGTCGATTCGGAGGTTCAACAATACATTCGTGGAGTACAGAATATTGTCAAAGCTAATCTTCACTGGAGGTGAGCGACGGCTGACTGCAAGTTTGTATAATAGCGTTCTGGTCCGACACTAATGTTCGCATAGCTTTCGTTCCAGACGATACTTTGGAGAGGTGAATGAAGAGGTCCGAAAGACCGGCATCGTAAACGTGCAGCCACAGAGTGCCGATGTTGAGCTGACAATTCTCTAAGGATGTCTGTATAGCTGTTTTCCTGGCTAAAGGAGTTGATGAATATTTTTGTTCATCATTTTGTTTTGTATGACGTTTCGATATTGCCAGTGTTATGAGCCGTTGAAAGAGCACCAGAGGGGCGAGAATGGGGGCCGTCGGAGGCGTGACTCTGATCAATTGCACGGAAAGGTTAATCTGATCCTTTATATTTTGGTCGACATGTATTCATATCTCATAGTCCATTACTGTGTCTACCACTGATAATAGAAAATATCAAAGTTAACCTTCATATAACATTACGATATCGAACATACAGCAGAACAGATACAAAACTCCAACCTTCTCCGAATCACCTAATTATTCTCCATCTCCTACTATCCAATATACTCCATATCCATTTCGCTCTTAGCCTCCTGCCAACAGCTAGAGAGGATATACAAATACAGTCCCGCAACTCCATCACGAAGCCCTAGAGTATTATTAACTGATTTATGTGATTAGTATAGAATTGCTGGCGTAGACATTTTTCATATAACCGCGAGACACGGTGGGTTGTTTTCATCGATTGACGGCGTTTCCAAAGCGTTGACAACATGTACATGTCGTACGATTATTGACTAGAACCATGCAGTTGCACAGGTAAGACCATGAGATACCGGACAGCTGGCACCGTAGATCCTGTCTGAAGTAACAAGGTCAGTTCCCATGGCAAATCCAAAGAAGCAGCATCTTACTCTGTTCCCCATGATTTCCCTCCTTTAGACCTGGGCCATGCTGGGACGGGCTCCACGGGCAGGACCCGTCCGAGGGCGAAGGTTGACGGATCGGCGGGCCGCCAGGGATGAAAGGGCGATAGAAGCCGTGTATCCAGCCCAGGCGAGCCAAAGGAAAGCAGTTGATGCCTGCGCCTCACGACAACGCTTCTCGCGGTGCACGGAGCCGTTGGTAATCTCGTTGTGGAGAGTGTATAACTAGATGATCGGCAATCAGTCGGTGGATCTCAATCTCAATAGTGGGGTGGGTCTGCCGATAGCACGCATCCTGCTGCGATCGGTGTGCATCTCAGATCCCGAGGTTCATGGATCACACGTACGTCATTGCTACAGCTGTGGGCCTGGAGCTTCGCAGCCAACGCGATACCGGCCGTAAGGAAGAAGATGGCATTGAGAACGTCCAGGACGATCATGATGATCGGGTGGATCGCCCAGTCGATATTGATCGATGCCGGCACCAAGTAAAACAGTGTGAACATAGAAAATGCAGAAACAAACATGGCATAATTGACGGTCGCAGGGTTTCCGCTAAATGAATCGGCGATCATGTTACCAATGAGGGCCATGACCAGCAGGGTCCATAGGAACTGTGCCAAAGCGCATCTTGTTAGCTAATGCTGTGGTGCCTGATACGATGTTGAACTCCCATCGCGATCGAGAGGGACATACCTCCCACAGTCGGAGACCGAGCTGAATCGCGTTCATTGCCATTTCAACAGCTTAGGGTTTGTATAGGTTCGTGAATGTATTTAGTCTCGGACAGTCGCGTGCGGTGAAGCGTGTTCGTTTGTGTAGGGTATTTGCAGCGGAGAAGAATCGTTCCAGTCACTAAAAAAGGCGCAAAGCTTGTGGAGCTAGTTAACGATGGCTTGATAGACGTAAAGAGGGATTCTAGGGATGATGGGGTTGATATTGTATGGGCGGAATGTCCGGGAGGGCGGGCGATGACGATATGCTGCGGGATGGCTGCGACGTCATGCGAATCATGAAATCACCACCAACAAAATTTTTTGTTCTAAACGGATAGGGTCTGGGTGATCACACTCGAAGGGAGAAAAGAATTGCTAGACGGTGGTATCCTACATTATTATATACTACCTAGTCCACCTCGGAGAATATCCAATCGCCCTCCTTGAGAGATAGTTGTCAGGCATTTCTGCAGTGCCTATCACTTATTCTTAGCGCTGGCCCGCTATAGGATGCACCCTATAACAACAAAATATCAGAGAAGCGCCATATGCAGGCAACGCGGTGCTCTATGCAACTTCCTCGGCCCATCATCCTATGCAATCTTCCGCCTCGATCCGACATGAAACGTAAATGCCGTCACCATTCCTTCGTACTCTCGATGGACTCCAAACTTAAACCGACCCCGATGACGACCGGTTCCAAAGGTGGGCGCCCTGCCGCCCAATGAAACCCTATCCTTTCGCTATAGATCCAGGGTCCCTCTCATAGGGAGCTCCCCTTTACCAGTTATGGCCTGTTCTGGCTTCGACGCATATGGCTAGCTTCGGCGGAGATAAAGATTTCTCATGAATCCCTATCCTCAGTATCATAGCTCCAAAGTTGGACGAATCCTGTTTTCAAGCTCATCCTAGGAAAGCCCACAGTGTTGTATCAGGAAGCATTCGTTCAGAATGAAGACAGTGAGGACGAACGAGCCTCATCAGTATTAGAAAGGAACCAGTTTAGCTATAGGGAAGTGCCAGTGGTGTGACTCGGTAGTTAGGGTCTAGGCACTTAGTTGGCTGTCTTCTGAACCGCACCCAGTTCAATTTGAAATAATCGGGTAGTTCCTAGACCACTACCGATAGGCTTAGTTTAGGGTTCCCTGGCTACCTTACGAGGTCTGCGCAGTTACTGGATAATGAAGCGCTAACTCCCGACAAGAGCTCATATGATGCCCGAAACCATTACATTTGAGTTTCTATGATCTCGGACGATATGAGCATAAAGCAAGGTTTATCTAAGTATTGGTACTATGCTGTCATTGAGCATGACAAATGATACATGTGTAGAGTACATCAAGTGAAAGTAGCTGCGGTACCTTGTGTACGAGTATAAGACCCATACAACGAGTATGGCTTCACTTTGTGGATGGCTTAAATGCGCTTTGCACAGACCCGTACCTGCGTCCTGTGTCAGTATGCTGCGTTTTATTAATCAATGCGATAGACTCACCCTTGAGCACATTGCTTGCCGAGGGCCACACTTCCGCTCCTCATGTAGCAGATCTTGGCTTGCCAGCAATCCGCAGTCGTGCACTTGGGACTCTTGACACTCATCTTACCCTGGAGTTCATTCTGCAGGGTTACTAAGTCTCCGTCCCTCTCCATAGCCTCGGTAACCTGATGCCAGAATGTTGCATTCAGGGGGGCCTCCTTGTCCCACCCAGCGGCAGAGCCATACGTGTCCCGCGTAGAATATTCGAACTGATATACAGGTCCCGTCTCCGTGAGAGAGCTGAAATCAGACACGTTGCTAAAGAAGGTGTATGCCTCGTAGATGTTGAAGTCCCCTGTATCCACTTCGTACAATCTGAAACCGCTGTTTAGATTTGTCAGAGGTGTTATGCTGGGCCCAATCCAGCCAGTGGTCAAAGCATTTTCGGCATTCTGCATTGTGCCGTTGTTCGCGTAGTATACCATGAATTGATCTTCATGTGTGTGACCGAAGAATATGTTTGCAATAACATGAGGGGAGTAGCGGTCCACAATCTGGTAGAAGAGATTCGTAGGATTAGGGAGAGGATTAGACCCATCCCATCCGGACAGAACATGTCCAACAAGCCAAACACGCTCGCCATGGTCCTCTGCTTCCTGAAGCTCCGAGATCATCCAAGCAAAGATTCCAGAGTTGTCAGGGTTTGTCGTGTTGATAAGGTTCAGGTAGTTAGACTTGTACCAGAAATCTACATGTCACTGATCAGTAAATCGCATTATGAAGGTCCAGATGGCTGCCCTACCTGTGTTGAACGTGATAACGCGCAACCCATAATGGGTTTTAATGCTGTATGCCCCATAATGAAGCTTGGCTTCCTGGACAGCGGCCTCATCAATCCACCCTTCGTGCCGCCACAGCCCTGCAACATGATCATAGTTCCAACTCTGTTGCTGGCCCAATGGTCCTGGAAGGCTGTGTGGAGATTCAATGTTCTCAGGGCTAGTGTCGTGGTTGCCCAAAGCAGCGAAGACTGGACCTGAGAGGTACGACTTAAGCATACCGTATACACTAGTCTCCGTATATTGGGTATAGGCCCGATCAACTTGAGTAGCCGGGTCATCATGTGAGACTAAATCTCCTGTATATAAGGTGAAGGCTAGAGGATTCTTGTCCTTGTCAGTTCCAGTCAAAGGACCAACAGCTTCCAGGGCGGCAAGGCCAAGGTCATATGGTGTATCACATTTGTACGATCCATAGACAGAAGCTGGAAGGAGAACCTGGTCCTCTGAATACGAGTTGTATAGATTGCTTCGGCAGCACATGCCCGACGAGCAGTTCGCCTCAGAATTCACGGAGTAACGTGGGTCCAGATGAAAATCAGACAAGTGCAACACCTTAATCCGCTCACCACTAGGACTGGGAACGTGTGGACTTCCCGGTTTCGGCTTTGGAAACCAATCTGACACGTTTAATGGGTTCGTCACAGGCTGACTGCAGAAAGTGCTGCTGAGGGAATTGCATATGTAGTCGCCGTCCAGACCCTGAACGTCTGCATAGGCTAGAACCTGAGTCCAGATCGCACCAAAGGCACTCGCCGTATATTTCTCCTCACATGCGTCGTCTGAAGCGAACTTGAACTTTTTGCATAGAGAGATCAACGTTTCGGGCACTACTACTGGCGCAAACAAAGCAGCCGGCTTAGCCGCAGCCAAAGCTGCCTTGCAAGTGGTGCAGTTACTATTCGTATTATTCGCAGTTATAATACGGGTGACATTGGCCACTACTCTGTGAACCAATGCCTGCTGTTGATGCTCCGATAAGTTTGCAGATGGCTCTGGGAAGTAGACGGGGTCGTTATTTTCCTTAGGGATGGTATCAGGGTTCGTCAAGTCATAAGGGAATGTGATATTTAATATAGGATCATGAATGATTGGTTGCGGCTCTTGGGTTGGCTCTGCAGGAAGATAATAATAAGATCTAGATCAAGGGTCGTGAGTATTTTCTCCAGTCAGGGCTGCGTCTGAACAATCGAAACGTACGAGAAGGCGCTAGTCGGGAAGCCAGCTGGGGCTACATAGGACGGAGCCCCAGGCAGTGACGAGGCAGCAAGGGCATCTGCTAGATTTGTGCTGACTCCGGCCAGAATGGCCTGCATTATTATTAAATGGGACGCGTAACCCATGAATCCAGTAGGCAATGAACGTTCGCTATATCGGATACAATTGAGACGAGACGAGACGACGCCCACGGCCCCTAACAGTGCAGCCACAGGGAGTATAACGTGCGAGTATCTGCATGGCGGTTGGATTTGCGGTGTGCACCATTATTTTATAAGGGACGGGTGGTAGTTGTTGAGCAGGTATTGACTCTTCCTTATCTGGAAAAAGGATGCACGTGGCGCTATTCTTTAGATCGACTGGACACAGTGAGATTAGGAAATGGAATTTGTGGAGAAAGCGTCAGAACTAGTACGTACAGATTACGAGGCAAGGAAATAGTCATGTTGGGCGATTCACACTCAATTATACACATGGATAACCAACATGAAGGCGTACGGGTGTATAGAGAGTAAGGTACATAAATACTAGAGTGGTTTTGCAGGACCCATGGGTACCTTAAGGAACCGTGAGAATTTGATTGGTCGAATTCAACCCGTGACGGGTTTCGTACCTTCAAGTTCCATTCTCCGGAAGCTTCTATGTATGCTAATAACCTCTGACATCAATGGTTACCTACTACTGGTAGTACTGTTCTTCCGGTTTTCTTTTCTTCTCATGTTGTGCCCTCCCAAAATGCCTCCATGGTTGAAGTAACGTACAAGGTATAGGTTCATACGCACCCTGGGTCGAACGTTACGACTTGAAAGCCCTCAAGGGATCTGAAGCTCCTTTATATAACTCTATCTTAACTTAAGTAATTAGTCCCCTTCTCGATGGATCAGAACGTGCCATTGTATTTATAAATCTCGAGCCTATGATGTAGGATGTGAGGCTGCTCATTCATGCAACAAATTATGATATCTCGTCTCAGACTTGGGGAGAATCACGAATGGGCCCAAATGTACAGGAGAATGGTAAGCAGAATCCTATAATACGAGGAGATGAAGCCATATTAAGTTCTGACATTCAATTAAGTAATAATGAGTGATATACTTATTCTAATTACCCTCTAAACTTAACACGAGCACCGAAGTATATATATATAACCACTAGTTAATTACTTACCCCTTTGGATTACGTGAGCAACACCAACAACCACAGGAACAGTTCCAAACAAGATATATTTCCACTTCTCACTTAGTTGGCGTGTTTCACGGCGATGCTATAGCTACAGCATAGAGCATAGAGCATAGAGGATAGAACTCCATTCTAGGTTCAGGCCCGACTATCAACTCATCATTCAATCATGATTCGATTGACAAGGACCCATCCTGGCGGAGATCCATTGTCTCGGGTACGACCAAGCTCAGGATCGACGCGATTATCGTCTTGGGGCTAACGGCTAGATCATGATGTCATGACCGAGAACCCCCCGAGTTGAAATAGTAACTTTGGGAGGTAATTAAAGCTTCGGGGGAGTGGTTCGTCATTAGGTACAGCTATTGACTGACCCATCTAGATATGTTCTGGGGTCTTCGGTAAAGTGGTTACGTAGTAGACATTACTCTCAATTTTAATATCCCAAAATGAATATATTGTTCTAATTTACCTGAGGTAATTTCCCTCTCGTATTGCTTTCGCATTGCTTTCGCGATTGTGCTCTAGGATCGAGACTAGACACCCTTGTCTTCAAAATGCCTGTTCTTCCTTCTTTACAAGGTTCCACCTTTGATGATGAAATTCGCGATCGTCATTTGATATATGACTATGCAGCGCAGGATGCGGAGGGAAATCCAGAAAAATGGCGGTATGAAATGTGGTTTTACAACGAGGACCGCATAAATTACGCCATTCATGGGGGCCCCATGGCGGGGCGTGCGGCGTTTCAGTCAGCCACATACCAATGCATCCGGCCCGGAGAGTTATGGCAGTGTAACTGGCTCGAGGAAACTGGGACCATCTGCTCATTGGTTTTCGATATTTCGCGGAAACATATCACGACCTTGATAGCGTTTTCCAAGGGACATTGGGAAAAGAATACGACCGCTCGCGGTGATAAGCGCAACCCAGAGGATCTAGCACGGATGAGGAGTTTGGCTCAAATCGGTACCCAAGTCGATCGGATACTTTTGAGCGAACAGGCTGAGATATTGGAGGATTTCCGTGGTCCGGGTAATTTAAAACCAATACAGATGGACTGGCCAACTTTGTGATCAAAAGACATGGGAGCATCGAGAGCTGCAAGATCGGTCTGGTCGGCTGTGGGCAAACGGGGGAAATCCGATCAGTGCGTGGCACAACTTTGTCCAAAAGCGGGGAGCATTTCACTTTGTCCTATTCGATATATGACCAAACAAGTAAAGCAGGGCCCCGAGAACATATTTCTTGCAAGAGTGCCGCGGGTAAAGAAACAGATTTTGCGTGCAACCCAACCCAACCCAACCCTCATGCGACCATATTAGATGCCCACGAACGATAGCAGGTTTCTGAGAATTGATAGAATCCTGGCAAAGTATATTAGAACTGGGTCAGTTCAAGATGCCCAGAAGTGGAGCCGATCATTGGCTGTGTCCTTCAATGCCAACGTTCGTAGTCGATGCTAGCGGCTAACGACATTGTCATTGTTCCTAGAATAACGGCAGTCATATCGCATCCAACTTTGACACGATGACTCACACGGTCCGGGAAATTCAGAGCTTGCTGCGGACGGGCATAGATCGTGAGAAGACCTAATAATCTCTTCCTTAACAGTAAATTGCTGTAATGCATGTCAAGTGGTAGACATGCGAGCGAAGAGTGGTGGAATGCAGCAAGGTGCTATCGGTATGGCCACCCAAGTTATACAACTTGTAGCCGAGAGTATATAAAAGGATATTCAACGTGACATCGAGAGCTCTATGTGGAATCTTGGTTTGATGACGAACTTCCAGTTGAAGGAGCCTGAAGACACACCAGTTCTATTTGAACATCGCTTTTGCTCTTCAGGGGTGGGCTGTCGTACGACGGGCTTCGGCTGATGATGGCGACGGCAACTTGGTCTGCTTGTTGTTTCGCGGTCATATTATCGATATACCATGTCTTCCAGGGGTCATCGCTTGAGCCAGGAGTTGACATCGTGGCGACCTTGTCGTTTACCGTCTCCGAGGCGAACGCTGGAAAAAGTGTAAGTAACAGAGCAAATTAGCCGGCAGCTTGAGACAAGGAGCCTTCACGTACGCTTAACAGGAATTCTCTGGACATCGAAGAAAGGCGGTGGACAGTTCGGAAGAGAGGGCGGGTTGACGAGCATTTCGTGCAACACAGTGTCCAGGGGAAAGGTGTAATATTCTCCCTTGGCGGAGAGTTGATAGATAGCTTCTTTTAACGTCTCCTTGAGGTTTATCGAGCATTGCGGTCCCCAGACACCGTCACATCCATTAGTCCCCCCGGAAGGGGTCCCTGTCAGGTTTCCCACACGCAAGCCAACCTCCAACGTGCGATTTGTGTCGATGGCTGAACTGTCGACATGATGTGCTGCATAGCCCATCCAAAAACTAGCTTTAGTCATAGGTTCGTTACCTTTACCTCGAGAGTTGGCGTCGTATGCATAATATAGTGTAAGATCGTCCAAGAAGAGAGGAGAAAAGTCGAAGGAAATTGCCGTCTGGGCGTAGGGATCAACACATCCACCATCCCAGAAAGAACAGATCTGGGCGAGGCCCGGTTGTAGCATTGTTGATAATATCGCTAATAGAAGCAGACATGGTCGGAACGTCGACCTCGTTTCCCAAGGGTCCGCCATTTGGAAGCCGAGGACTGTTGAAGTAGAGCTGTCTCCGTGGGATGACCGAGTAGGCTCAGAAGCGCAGCGATAACAAAGGAGCAGCGGCCAGCACAACTGGCATGCTCATAACCGAGTTGGTGGTAAGAGGGAGGTCGATGGTGGTCGAAGGGATGCGAGTACCAGCACTGGAGTCTTGTACGAAAATGGCGTTGGATATTCTTTAGAACATAATAGACGCGTCCAGCTAATCTAAAACGCAGAATGACCCAAAAGTGTAAAGAGGAAAGATATCTATCCTCAGCGCTTCACTCGTCGAAGCTCCGAACTCGAATGTCGATAGATTCGCCAGGTCACCGTTTTCCGTGTCAGCAAGAGAATGGCCTCCTCTCATGAAACGCCTTCCGCCCCGACACCAAAAAGCCAAGTGATTTGGAAGAACGCTAAATCAGATGGGGGTCGCACTGAGAAGAAAGAGGGAGGGGGAGTGCTCCCTGTTGTCAGAATTGGGGAATCGAGTAAGAGTAAGGTCCGAGTCGGGACCCTCCGCTAGTTGGGAAAAAAGACCGATTCTCAGCACGGGAGTAACGGGGGGGGGGGTGGTTGAGGCCAGCTGATTATGGGTGTGTAGCAGAGAGAGAGAGAGGCTGTAACCTAGGGGGACCTCCAGAAAAAGGTCCAAGGTAATGTCAGATAGATGAAGGATCGCAAAAAGGAAAAACAAGAAAAAGAAAATAATAATTCATGAATGGTAAGTTAGTCACGGTGCTGGTGTCCAAATCTCTCTTTTTTCGCTCGCCTTCTCTCCTTCTGTGACCGGCGACTTATTATTGTCTTGCCTGTGAAACAGGGAGTGTGGATCCCGGATTGGCCAGAGGAGACTCATCTTTCGCTGGCTCCCTGGCGTTTTAGGAGGCATTCTTGGCCCTTCTTGGTCACTGACGCTAACAGAACAGTCCCCGCATATTTCCTCACCGAATGCGGCAGTTCCGGCGGTTGATCCGCCCAGGGTGCCAGGAGGCGTCCACTAAGAACGCCGCATCCTCACATATTTCGGTCTTCCCAGGGTTCTGAGGGTCCAGAGGGGCCAATGAGTTCGCCTACATAGTCTACTGCCAGCCACCAATTGTACCTTGAGATTCAAACTAGTAAACAATCTTACCGTATTGTGACGGGCGCAAGTTACCTCTAACTGTTGCTTCAGAGAAGTACTACTACTCCTCCGAGTAGGAGTAAGATGTAATTTATCCAAAGCCGGGTTAACGTAAGGCAGCGAAGTATTCCCAATAAGTAATTAGCAAAGTCTGAATAATATGGATACTTATTACCGAGGCATCACCGGGAAAGGTAATAACTGATTTTTGATTTTGATTTTTTGATTCTTCTAATTTTTATTACTAGGTTATACAGTGTGCTGTTCACAGTAAACAGGGGGGGGAAGTAATAAAATAGAAAGAAAAGAAAAGCATTGTGCACATCTTACAGATACACAGGAGTTATCTTGCATATTGAAGAAGGCAAAGGGAAGAAAAAAGAGCTAGAGGAATCATAAACAATAGTAAGCCAGTAATGCCCGCTGATGGGTCAATGTCTAATTAAATCTCTATTACCTGATTAACAACGGGGAAACAACGGGAGTGGTTAACTAACTTGGTTTAGGGGGCAAAGCAACCCAGCTCGTAGGATTGAAGTAGCGCGGCACATAATTCCACAGGACCCTCGACCACACTGACAACGGTGCTACTGTACAATTCATACCAGTGTTCCAAGTTGATACTCTTAGCACCCCGTATTGTCTCCTCAATTCGGTCCCTATCAGTAGTATTTACCGACTAGGTTGGACTGCGACAGACCAGCACCTCATTTATTGCCACCTATCAATTTAGTGTAGTATCGACCGAACTCTCTACGGTTTTCCCACCGGGTTTCCTTCTGAATGAAACATCACGAGGTTAAGTTGCTTCTTACTACTGCACAGCCGCACTCTGAACACCGTAGATTCTCCGACCGAAAGTTATTGATAGAAAACCAAAAATTTATACAATCTAAGCCAGGAGACGTCGCAAGAAAAACAAAGAAAATAATAATAATAAGATAAATAATAAGACTACATACAGCTTCTGCTGGAAGTTCATCTGCCATCCAAGTATTACAAACTTAATCGGATAGGGTATTTAAAATTTTCACGACTAATCTCTGTTGAGAATTCCAAACGACCATGGTTCCCTCCGGTTCCTATGGCTCCTATCTCTAGTTCTTCGGGCATCCAACGGGGTTCCCTTAGCGTTGATTGCCATCCCTGGATCAAGAGGCCCTAGCAACACCTGAACAATGGCAATGGTAATAACGATAGAGTAATAATACTACATCATGGTTGCCGAGATACCGGCCAACGCTGAGCAGCGCCGAGCTGTCATTATTCCATAGCTTCCAATGTTCTCGGGCAAATCGCCTCAATACCGTCAATATTACTCCTAGTACGGAGTACAAGGACTGAAAGGTTAAAATCGCCAACGGTGACACCGGGGATACAAACAGCATTCCTGAGTTGTTCTCACATATATCAGCTGCATGGCAATTATCCTGGCCAAGATAACTCCGTGCAGACGACCTGGCTTAGATAGATCCTCTTGTCGTGCACCGCACCGCAATGTACACTCTCGTCTAAGGGGTGTACAGTACTCTGTACGCTGTATGTATGTACGCTATGGCCATCTGCTGACTTCTGCCTGGTGGTACAGGATACTACCGAAAATTGTTGTCCACTCCCGGGGATGGTTGGCCATGAGGTCATCTGGAGGCCAAAATTTCAATCTCTTGTACAAGATACCGTCATCGTTGGGGAGGAATCCGACAGCTAGCCCTGCTAAATTGCCTTATTTGGTGTTTGGGAATGTATGCCAAGGTCAGACTTAAGCCTAAGTACAGAAGCCGAGGACACCGCAATTCAGCCAGAGAACGACTTAACAACAGCCAGAATGGAGATTTGTTTCTCTTCGGGTTTGGCGTCCTCGGATATGAGTGGATATGACCCAGATTAATATCCGACGAGCCCGGTGTCCAATAATGGATGCGAGTGACTTTTAGGGTCTCTTTACCGCAGTCGAACCTTGCGTCATTCCCGGTCGGATCGGATGATTCTCTGGTGGTATCGAGAGATATGGAATGGCTCAATCTAGTAATTACCTGCATCCGGATTGAGAACGAGGATAGGAGACCTCATATCTCGGATTCCCATTTTCACTACATATCTATCATGGCGTGAAATGACTGGTTAATGATCACGACAAACAAAAGTTTGAAAGCAAAGCCTCTTACTTTTTCTTAATTCGTCCGTCCCTCGCAGGTATATACCTGGCCATACTCCATGACTCGACAACAGCCGCTGGAACACGCTACCTTTCAAGTTTCTCTAGTCCCTCTGCACGAGACTTGAGGATTGCAGCCAACTCACAGATGGATTTGGCCAGCTTGCGGATCCGCTCCAATTCGCGTAATCGGTTTCCCTCTGCGATCGCTATTATCCTGCGCACGGTTTCAATCTCTGCAGCCTCCATTTCTGTCAGTTTGCCAGCCAGAGGATCAGCGCCCTGAATGTGCTTCTGGATATTAGTGACCTTGGTGATCGCTTTGATAAGGGGTAGCATGGCTGGCATATTAAAAGTCAGCCACGATGCATGCTCGGGAGTGGCGCCTTGGTGGCCCCAGACAATGTCCATGGCTGCTGCCCGCTGTGTAAATTTTCTGACACTGTGAGCCCCTGTTGGCACAGGAGCTTTGTTCTCGTCCCAGTTGAAATCTGGAATATTCAGTGGCGTCTGCTTAGTTTGGTTATTGTGCTTATCCCCATCATTGCGGGTGTCTTGCATTCCTTTCCAGCGCTCATACAGCTCCCATTCAGATTCCGTCATCTGTGCCCTAGCTGAGCTTTCCAAATCCCTGCGTTTGTTGTGCGACGCCAGCTTCAGTCCCGTCCACAGTGCAAGACTATTACCCCGCTCAACAACCCTGGCGAGATCCTGCATCTTTTGCGATGTCGTCTCAAGGTCATCGGTGTCCGTAGGCACGGGTATAATTTTCAGGTTCTCGCCTAGGTCCTTGAGCGCTAGAGGATCCATCGTCGCCCCGTGCGGTCGTTTAGAGCTAGAACTCTGCTCATGGTTGTCGCCCTCCCGTTTTAGTGCACGAGTAGGTAGTCGGCTTTCCATTCCAGCTTCACGCTGTCCTAGTATACATAAATTGAACAACACACCACGCGTGGATCGTATCACGTGGTAGTGCTTTGCAATATTGTATTGTTTGCTTTTGCTCTAAGTAGACGATGACGCAAGAATGGCTGCTGTCTGGGTCTCACTGTGGCCTCAGATGAGGCTAGAATAAGCCGTCTTTAGATGCTGTACAAGGTTTGGTCTGTCCGTGCGAGGGGTGGTTGAGCCAATAGCTTGTTTATTCCAACCAGTGCTGAATTTTTAGTTTTATGTTCAAAATTTCCTCCAATATTAGACATTCATCCCAGAGGAGGTTGCAAGAACCGAAGTGCAGATGTGGGTGGGAACCAAGCTGTGAATATAGGTTGTACTCCTTACACCAAACGATTCGCAAGGATTACTAAGTTGACAGATTTTCGTTAAGACCCCGTGAGATCATTTCTTTAGCGGTTGAAGTGCTTCAGTCACAATTTATACAGATAGGTTCATAGCTAGCCAAGAAAAATAGAAAAATCAATAATTTAAGGGCAAAATTGTCAAAGTGAATAAAGATTCATACATAGTATAGTACAGTAGGTGTCCACCAAATGAGTGAAATCACCGATCGGCCTCTTGCCCTCACCTAATATACAACCGACATTTTGTTTCGTAAAACATCTTCGTGGAATACATGACCGGAAAAATATGCTTGTGGTGTGATGATAATGCTGACAGAAAAAAAGAGGTATGTGAGTCGAATGTAAGATCGAAATGGTAGGAGAGTGTCAGTCAGAAAAGCCCCAAACGCCAAAACTCCATGCTTGAATGCTGCATATATGTTTCCCAAATTGTTCGCCGCTCCCTGGTTAGCCAATAAAGACTAGTTCTCATCCTCTTCGATATGTGCATGACCCCTGGCCCAAACACGCTTCCAAGGGCCTTCATGTCCAAAAGTTGCCTCTCGATCCTGGCGCATCCCCTCTAGGACACCGACTATTCCGCCGCTACGCAAACGTTCTAACACAACATTCATGCCTTGTTTGCTCTTAAGCACGGCATCCCGGGTCCGCTTCAGCCCAATGAGTTCGATTGTCCGCTGAATACCAGCGGTTGATAGAGAGGAGAAAAAGCCCCTCTTCGGTGCATCCTCTTCAGCCTCGCCACTGTGATCGCCAATTGCATCTGCCTTTTTTCTTCCGAGAAGCTTTCCTTGTCCGAACCGAGAACGGAACGTGACAGTCGTCTTCACGGTTGTCTGCTCGCCTCTCTTGTCGTCAAGGGCAAGCCCCTCGAGACTATCAAGAGCCCCTTCAATTGGTTGACGCTGGTAAACCTGTTTCTCAACAACACTGAGAATACCAGTCCATTCCATGTTACGTGATTCACTTTCCATCCAGCCTTCCCTGGGGTCGACGACCGTGGTCTCCAGAATGTAACTTTGGCCGGAATTGTCGGATCCTCCAATGCCCTTGGGAAGCAATTTGAGTATACCAGACGGGACTTTGGATTTCTTTAAATGAAGACGAATTGTATGAAGACGCTGTGTCTTGGGATCGACGTAGCGATCGATAACATCAGTCGTTAGGACATGGCGAGAATACGGGTTAGGATAGCGCAGGAAGTAGGCAAGAGAGACAGCAGGGAAGGAGTAATCGTAAGTAAATACGTTCTCGAAGAACTTCATGATTGCAAATGCATATAGACAGCCTAAATGATGGGGAAGTAATGGGAGGAGCTGTGGCGATGAGATGATGCTCTGCGAGCTGTTGGGTGCTCGTCTGCTCAATCGCCTTTCTGAGTGGTCGGACAATTCTGCTCGGACCCGGACTCCTTTTCGGCGGCGGAAGAATTTCTGATGGCTTCTAGAGCCATCGCGCTAGCCCAATCCGGGACGCGGGGTGCTAACCGTTCAACATCACGTGATGCAATAAAACAAGCCAATAAGAGGACCAACGGTTGCTTGATAGGATGACTCATCATTTGTCTGCTTGGAGGGGCAGAGAGTACAAATTATATCGGTGTCAAGATTAGCAACGGCGGCGCTAATACAAAGATCTCGCTTTTCAATTCAGTTCTAGCCTTGGCCACAGAGCTGTAGTCAGCAAGTTCTATATACTATACACCCTTTGTGTCTCTGCAGACGCAGTCATCGAACATGGCGAACGAACCTGGTCAACCCCCCGCGCTCACGACTTTGAGCCTTGCCGAAAAGGCGCCCGAGTCCAAGGCAGTCGGACAGAAGATCACACCTTTTGACGTCTCTGGCGGAGTTGATGAATCTGGAAAGCTCTTACCGGTTGACTATGACAAGCTGGTGCGCGAATTTGGTGCCACTCCTATCACACCAGCCTTGCTCGAACGCTTTGAGAAAGTTACCGGCCATCGCCCTCACAGGTTTATGCGTAGAGGAATTGTTTTCAGTCACCGTGAATTAACTTCAATTCTGGATCGTTATGAAAAGGGCCAGCCATTCTACCTTTACACTGGACGAGGACCCAGTAGTGACAGCATGCATGTTGGACACACAATACCCTTCGAATTCACTAAGTATGTATTCTGAACCTGCCCATTACAGCAAACGATTGATAACTAACGATACTGTGCTATATAGATGGTTGCAAGATGTTTTCGATTGTCCATTGGTTATCATGCTTACTGACGACGAGGCATGTTCCACACATTTTGACCGGTTATTCCTCTTCAGATGCTAACTGGCCTTCAGAAATTTATGCATTCACAAAAGATCGATGTCGAGGACGCAAAGAGATACACCAAGGCGAATGCCATGGACATCATCGCCGTTGGTTTTGACATGAAGAAGACGTTCATATTCAGTGATTTTGATTTTGTTGGCGGCGCTTTCTACGAGAACATGTGCAGGATGGCCAAGCGTATCACAATCAACTCTATAAAGGGAACTTTTGGGTTTAACGACAGCAACAACATTGGTGAATTCCATTTCTGCGCGACTCAGTCCGCCTCGGCGTTTGCAACCAGCTTCCCGCATATCTTTGGCACGGACAGGAAGAAGGTCTCATCCATCCCGTGTTTGATCCCTTGCGCAATCGACCAAGATCCTTATTTCCGGCAATGCCGTGAGAATGCCGAAAAGATGAAGTACAAGAAGCCGTCGCTGATCCATGCAATCTTCCTACCTGCCCTTCAAGGGCCCGGCTCTAAGATGTCCGCTAGTGTGGACACATCCGCTATTTTCATGAACGATACACCTGCCCGTATCAAGAACAAGATCAACAAGTATGCTTTCTCGGGTGGCCAAGACACTGCTGAACTTCAGCGCCAGCTTGGCGGAAACAGCAAGGTCGATGTTCCATTCCAGTACCTTACGTTCTTCTTGGAGGATGATGAAGAACTCGAGCGCATTCGTGCTGCATATGAAAAGGGAGAGATGCTCACTGGCGAAATGAAGCAGAGGTGTATTGCTGAGCTGCAAAGCTATGTTAAAGGTTTCCAAGAGCGCAGGGCTCAGGTAACCGAGGAGATGCTCAAGGAGTTTATGAGGACTCGTCCACTAGAGTGGAAGGGTAACCCCAACCCAATTGTTGTCGAGAAGAAATAAGGCGCGTGGTACTTCCAGCCACTGCAGTTTTTAGACGAATTTTGTTTAGAGATGCATTATCCTGCAGCTACACGATCAATGACCACCACACAATGTCCCTTGCACATCTTCATTTCAGACCTGTAAAGACGCCATATGTACCAAGCCCCAAGTTAAATCGGGACCACACTCAGATTTGAGATGAACGGTTCTATGTATTACCGTGGAAGTGGGACCTTTCGGACCCTTTCGGGTCCATCAATACAATCCTACCGGGGATAAAGCCTCTAACACCGTTACTAAGCCAACACTCTTCACCATCTACTAAATCAGCCACTGCGATCACCTCCTCCGTGCAAAATCCTTCTACCAGGGCGTATCGCCTAGTTGTGCCTGCATTGCCGCCACTTAAGAGCGGTGGTGTGACCCATCCGGGCTCTGAGTCTTTGCTCGTGCCAACCTTCTCAGATCCATGCCTGCGCCGCCTGAAGTACGGGGTTGTGATACTCCCTTCCATGACTTCGCCCTTTGGGTTTATTACAAGCACCTCTGCCTGCTCTTGGGGCGAAAGGATCCCGGATCGATGCCTCGCGGCTGTATAGTCCCCACGCGCAGTAGTCTTATGCGTAGTAAAGTCCGACGGGGTCGTAGGCTCCGAGTCAACATATACACGCCACGTGTTTAACTGTGAAACCTCTTCAGTAGGGCAGAGAAGCTTTAGGAGGTCCATTGATACTGTCGGGTTGGCTTCGACCTTGCACGCTCCACTGCTGTCAATAACAATACGAAGGCGCCATGATTCCGATTTGTCCGGTATGAACGTGTCTAGAATCCTAGTAAACTGGCCCAAATCTTGCTGTAGAAACTCGATAGCTTTTGCCCAATTGAAACAGATCGCCGCGTTAAGGAGCCGATCCCGGTGGTAAGGTAGAAGGTAGTACGGTGTACCTAGAAGACAGGGTTCTGCAGTTCTTTCACCGATCGCACGCGGAATCGCAGGGTCATAACGCAGAGAAGATATGATTTGAAAGGAATCCGAGGAGGTTGTTGGCGGAATGGACGCCATTACGACGGGTACTATTGGTTAATGTTCCAGGTTAAAAGGGGTGATGTCGAAATTCCTCAACAGGCCATGGATCTGCATGAAGTACTTTAGTACTAGCCCGGAGCGAAGAGCGCACACAACCGATCATACAGGAATAAAGAGAAAAACATTGGATACAAATGGACGTGGTAGAATTTTATTCGGTATCAGGGATTGCAGTCCGGTTCCTGGTATTCGCCCTCGACGCTGATACTGTGGAGAAAGCAAGGCACTGAGCATCCCTTTGTGGTGGGTGTGATTGGCTTGCGTTGCATGACGAGCTGCCCGGGCGGAAAGCCGCTGCGTCGCCGGACCACCTTCGACGCATAACTTTTCAAGCGCGACTTCCTTCCATCTCCCAACCCCGAAAAAGTAGCCCTTCTGCCGACAGGCTTCCGCCGAGCACCAAGGACCAGTTCGTATTCCCAACCCATGGTTTTTCTTGTATTCTTATTTACTTCCTTTCGTTCATAGACCCCTTTTGTTAATCGTTACAGCATTCGATAGGATTGAGGAATACGGGTTCCTAGCCGGGTCATCATGTCGAGCGAATCACCACTAACTCAACCGGTGAAGAACGTGGTGGTTGACACTGCCTCTCTTCCAGCATCTTCATCGGCGTCAGTCTGGGATCGTGTCTCGAAATGGGTGTCTGAGAATAAGGCGCTTGTTTATACCATTGCTGGTGTCGCCGTGGTCGTGACCAGTGCCGGCGTTGTCTACTATCTCTCCGACTCGAGCCGGCCGGCTCAAGCTCCTCAACCAACAGAGAAGAAGAAGAGCAAGAACCAGCGACGCAAGGAGAAGGAAAAGGAGAAGAAGAGGGCGGAGGAGAAAGAAAAGGCCAAGGCTGCTGCTGACCAGGACGGTATGTCCCTTCAGATGATCTCTCAGGTTCCCGACCGCTCAGCACCAAGCCTGGAACTAATGGTCCCATAGAGAAGAAGAAGGCTGAAGAAGCTCCTGAAGAACTCCCCGACGTTGACGAGGCTACTGTCGGACAGCTATCGGAAGAGGTGGGTAAATGGCGCTGTGGTGACAAATGAGCGCTGGCGCTGACACTGGACTATAGACACGGAAAGCCTATGCTGCGAAGCTGAAGGCTGCCGGTAACAAGGCCTACGGCTCGAAGGACTACAACAAGGCGATTGAACTCTACGGGAAAGCTATTCTTTGCAAACCCGACCCAGTCTTCTACTCCAACCGCGCTGCCTGCTACAATGTGCTGTCCGAATGGGAGAAGGTCGTTGAAGACACCACTGCTGCCCTTTCAATGGATAGCGAGTATGTTAAGGCATTGAACCGAAGAGCTATTGCATATGAGCACCTCGAGAAGTTCAGTGAAGCCCTTCTTGACTTCACTGCCAGCTGCATCATTGACGGCTTCTCTAACGAGGTCAGCCGTGTCGCTCTTGAGAGACTCTTAAAGAAGGTTGCGGAGCAAAAGGGCAAAGCCATCCTGGAAGCTAAGGGCAAGAAGCTCCCCAGCCCGACCTTCGTGTCCAACTACCTTCAGAGCTTCCGTCCCAGGCCTCTCCCAGAAGGCCTCGCTGAATCCGTCGACTTGAGCGAGGATTCTGGCAAGGGTCAGTTGCGCAAGGGTTTGCTCGCAATGGCGCTGAAGACCGGTGATGGCTATGATGAGGCTGCCACAGCCTTCGAAAAGGCTCTGGAACTTGGCGAACTTGGCGAATTTGAAGCCCTTGCCCTCAATTTGAGAGCCACCTTCACTTACCTCGAGGGCAATGCCCAGGCTGCCCTGGCGGACCTCAACAAGAGTGTTGAACTCCAGCCATCGTTGGTTCAGAGCTACATCAAGCGTGCCAGCCTGCACCTTGAACTTGGTAAACACAACCCCACCCAATTCCGGTAGTACCGTTGGTAGCTATGTGACATCTAACAGAGAATGAATAGGAAACAAGGATGCCGCTGCGGATGACTTTGAGCTCGCCATCTCCCACAATAAGGACGACGCCGACATCTACTACCACCGCGCCCAGCTTCACTTCATCCTCGGCGAATTTGCCGAAGCTGCTAAGGACTATCAGAAATCCATCGACCTTGACCGTACCTTCATCTACTCTCACATCCAGTTGGGTGTCACACAATACAAGATGGGATCTGTCGCATCTGCCATGGCTACTTTCAGGAGGTCCGTGAAGAACTTCGAGGACGTGCCGGATGTCTACAACTACTACGGTGAACTTCTCCTTGACCAGCAGAATTTCTCCGAGGCCATTGAAAAGTTCGATAAGGCCGTGGAGATGGAGAAGCAGAGCAAGCCCATGGGAATTAACGTTCTGCCCCTCATCAACAAGGCGCTTGCTCTGTTCCAGTGGAAGCATGACTTCCAAGAAGCCGAGAATTTGTGCCAGAAGGCTTTGATCAGTAAGTCACCGCTGCTATTATGTGTAAGCTAGGATTATAGTCTAACCCCACTCCAGTTGACCCCGAGTGTGACATCGCTGTTGGAACTATGGCACAGCTCCTTCTGCAGCAGGGCAAGGTCTCGCAGGCGCTCAAGTACTTTGAAAGGGCCGCTGAGCTGGCTCGTACCGAAGCCGAAATCATCAAGCTATCTCATACGCCGAGGCAACCCGGACACAGCTCGAAGTGCAAGAGAAATACCCTCAGCTTGCTGCACGCCTGCAGACCATGGGCGCTGGCTTCGGTGGACCTCCGGGTCTGTAAATTGAGGCATACTTTCTTTTGTTTTCGCGTTTGAAGTGACCAAGACGTATATGTTGGATTAATAGTATTTTTTATTTTTCCTTTCCCCCCTTTCATACCTCAGCTAGAATGAACAGGCGATGGTTCATGTCTGGCCATGATCCTTTGGTTTCTAGTCTCTTCTGATACATCTAGGGTGCCGGAGCCTTTCATCTGCGCATGTACTTACTAGCTTCGTTACCCCTTCTTTTCCCCGGTTCCCATATACTTTCTCGGTCTCCTTGTTCGGGTAATACAAGGGAGGTCATTTTCATTTTTGTCTTTTTTTTCCCCACTTAGTTATACTTCAGTTCCTTTTGGATGCAGCACCGGGATCTTATTTGTGTAGGAAGAATGGCTGAAATGAGCAGGAAATTGCAGCGAAGGCATGTTCGGTGCCTGAGGCGTCATGTTTAACTGGGAAGGCGGGAAGAAAATCGTGTATCATAGCCAATGGAAGAGTTGGAAGGAGGTCAAACCATAGAGTCTTATCGTATCTGCCTACACCAGTAAGCAACTTATTCAAGAATAGAGGTCTAGATTCGCATTTGTTGGAAATTCATTCATGGTTCTGGGGGAATCTGATGCTTTTGCAACCGTGAGCCAATAATACTCGGGGGCAGGAGTTCTTTATACTAGTATATGGATACGGGTTCCAGTCTAAAGGGACGAAACCAAAACTAAACAGCTCATGATATGGTCATGGGGTGTCCACCTGACGGGGCGGAAACCCCACTCTTCCGCCTATCAGTGCTTTGCGTATCAGCGTCATCATTGGAATCTCCATCTTGATACCAACTCATCCATTCCTTCCTCCTGTTGAGTCACTCCGGTTGCGAAGATCGTTCTTACATCTGGACTCTCTTCTGGACCTGCGGTCGGCTGACCCGGAAGCTGTGTTCCCTCCTCCCCTCTTCTTCGCCTCTTATCGCTCTCATACCCACCGACATAGTAGTTAGTTAACTACTAGTAGCATCAATTATATCATCAAACTCCTGCCTGATATACGAGACGAGAAGTTTCCGGCTTTCCACCTATCAACGACCAGTTTTGCTTGAGTCATTTTCCAGATGCGTGCGCTTGCTACGTAGCAGGATAGCATAAGCTAGTGGTTGTCGTGTTTCACGGCCTGACAGCGACCGTCCCTTACACTCAGGCTGACCCGATTGCATAAGGTACGCATTCCTTTCCCCTTTCCTGCCCCTCCTCTCACCTCCACCATCCACAGAGCACGTCTTCTTTTACTACTAGCAACACCCCCGACACTCCACAGCTTTTTAAGTAGCTGGTGGATGTTTTGGTATTACTTGTTGTACTAACTACTAAGGACTTGAGCGTTGTAGTTGGCGTCGGGAATATCTGGCTTCCTAATACTGGCTTTGGCTATACCTTGTTTCCCTGGATCGGATTTGTGCTGAACAAGCCAAGATGCCTGGCTCAAAGGGTATGTGAATCTTCCTTCAACTTTAGTCAACGAAATCTAGTTGAATCTTGCCTGGCTTATACCACTCTGCCTTCTAGCCATCGTCACCCTTTATCCGCTTGACGTATCGGATGTCCTTCCATATCGTTCCTTGACCTTCACGTCGGACTCTGATCATATCGAGGTTGGCCGCGCCTCGAAACGTGAGAGTAAGAACCTCATCCCTACCAACCATAATGGACTGTTTGACTCTCGCGTAATGTCTCGGAATCATGCAACATTGCGTGTATGTTTAAACAACAAGGTACGCTAGCAGGGTGCTTCGCTAATAGGTTCTATCATTTTCTCGCTTCCATCATGTGGACTATGCTTATACTGTTGGCTTTAGACGGTCTATCTCAGTGACGGCAACTCTATGCACGGTACCTGGGTGAACGGCGAAAAGATACGCGCTGGGGAGGCCACTATTGTCAGAAGTGGGGATGAGGTGATTTTTGGAACAGAGGTTATTCGTGGTCATGGTGAGTCCGTTTGTTGAAGTAGAGTTCAGAGGCTTTCCTGACCTGGTTTCAAAGAGACTTTCCCCCCACTCAAAGTTCGCTGTGAACACCAGTGGATAGATTCTGGGTATGCTACGCGTGTATAACTGATGTTGGATTCACTAACACAGCATACAGTGACGAGGTTGTGTTGGATGTTAGCAACAACCACCAGGCGAAGCGGGCAACTAATACGTTCTGTGTTCCCGACGATGACGATGATTATGATAATGAAGTGATTTATGATTCAATCCCAGCCCCAGTAGTGACGGCTGTTGAAAGTAGCTCTGAGTCTGCTGACTCCGATCCTGGCTCGGATTCAGATGACGACTCAGTCATGGAGATTTCCTCCCCAATTACTTCTCCGCCTAAAGGTGGTGACATCATCGGATCACAGGAAAGCCCGATTGACGTCGATAGCGAACAAGCTGAACAGCCTCTTGCAACCCCAAGAATGACTCCACCCTCAACCGTTGATGTCGCAGAGGAGATCAGAAACAAGGTTCACGAACGGCCCTCCCATATCCTTCACAGCCCAGAAAGTACAATAGTTCTGGTCTCTGAAGAACAGTCGGTTGCCGAACCTAGTGTCTGGGAGAGCGAGGATGACGACCAAGCTGATTCCATGAATGAATCAATGTCTGAGTCACAGTCGGAATATGATGGCGAAGAATCTGACCCAGATAGGCTTTCCGTGAGATTGAGTCCTACGCCATACATGGCTATCAATCAGGGTATACAAGCAAACACGACATGTGGTGATTATGATGCTCCGAATAGGGGTTTTTATTCGAAGGGCAAGAAAGCAGAGGGATGCGCACCAGATCTTACCCGTCAGACCGCGGCCAGCTGCGGAATCAGTATTCCTCTCTTTAACACTACCTCTCCGTGTCTTGATGAACCGAGCACGTCTTGGCCGGACACTGTCAGAGATGGCGCGAACTCCGGCCTCCCTTTACATCCGAGCGGAAAATTATTTGATCACTCACTTGCAGGGCTCCATTGCACTACTTTCACACAGGCCATGGAGCCTTGGCAAGCGCACGCTGCTCACGGTCCAGCCTACCCCTTTTCAGATCACTGCAGCCCACGCCCTCCTTACAAAGATGGTCCATTTGTCAACTCGCTATCCCAGTTTGTCGATAGTAATGATCGAGATGACACTGTTGTCCCTACCGTTACCGCGGCCGCCCCTGGCAACGAAAATATGCAGAGCCGTTCTACTGATATTGAGATCCGTCCAACGGAGGCGAGTGACGACACTAATTTGAGTAAAGTTGGCGTACAATCTTCATCACTTCTAGAGAAAATGCGTGGGCCAGAGTGCGATACGCTTGCATCACCCCATAATGATGTTGATCCATCGTCAAAAGCTACGGCCATACCTAGGCAGGGACTCAAGAGGAAAGCATTGGATGCAGAGATTAATTCTCTGGATGACGATAATGTTGTTATTCAGGATACTTACCCCTGTACTGAGAACAATTTCTCGGTGGATGAGAGACCTACGGTGGAAGAGGATGATTCATGTCTTCCTGATGCCCAGCCACATATCACTGTACCCGAATTTGGAACCGTACCATCACAACTTACTGAATTACCTATTACACACGCATCTCAAAAGTCCGATAGCTACCCCCTCCCTACTCCAGCCAATGGAAGACCGTCGAAGCGGTTGAAGACTTCTGAAACGGCAAATTTCAAGAGTCATGCTGCTACTGCTGCCCTGGGCGCAGTGGTTGGTGCAATCGGTACTATTGCTATCCTTGCCTCGCTCCCCGCGGATTACTTTGCTTAGAAACCCAGCCGGTTTACTTTTGATACGAGTTGGGTCTCGTCTTGGCCATTGCATGACTTTTACGATTATGATACACTACCTCTCAACTTTTCTTTTTTTTTTTTCGTTCGCCTCAATGATTGGGAATGTTGTCTTTTGCTCTTAGGTATTATCGATCGGGGTTAGGGTTAGGAGAATTGTAGGCCGGCGCATTCGTCTATATGATATTTTGACATGTTTTTCCTTTAGGCCAATAGTGACAATCAATTCAGTACCTTGCATGGGATCTATTAGCTTCGAAGGTTAAACGCACCGTACTTTGGGCCCGAGCTTCGCCAGTTGTGAAGGAAGTGGCCTTCGCCTTCCAGGGTTGGTCCTTTTGGACCGACCTTTGCTCACGGGTAACCCGCAGTCGCTGAAAGGCTGATTACATGCGTACAGGAGCCGGTTGTTCAAAAATCCTCCTCGTTGTGCCAGCATCGAACCTTCTTTTTTCTCCGGCCTTCGTTAAGATACTGATTTCGATCAACAGTGTTCGGCCCGTGTTGAATCAGCTGATAAATAAAATGATCGGGTGCATCTGGAGTGTCCGCTGGGCTTCGCCTTCGTGGTGTGACAAGTGCCTTCCGGTGTTCATGCTCAGATAATCAAAGATGAGGCGACTTCGTTGTTTCCCGAGTCAACCGACTCTGGTTCCGCTACACGAACAAGTCAATTGTACTCTGGATTTCGGGATTCCATTCAGCCGCAGCTTGAGTGGCAGGCAACTTGGAGGTATGTACATACACAGAGCGCAGGATGGTGCACCCTACGGGCCAGTTCCGGATTGCGTATTTATGGGCGTGATTTGTAGGTCCGGCTACTTGCATAGATGTAGCCTCGTATACGCGTGATATTCTCTACGCTTTCATATTTTTGTTTGGCATTCCTCATCATCAAGCCACACATGTTTAGCTGTCCAACGAACGCAATAAATTGAGCAGCCGGTCCCAATTTTTATGGTGTCCGAGCTCACAAACACTAGCCAACTTTTGATTATTTTAATATTTTCTTTTTTTTTCTCTGCTAGAACTGGATGTTGAATTTCAAATAGCAGTCAAATCCCGTCTTCAAGAGGGTAAAGCCCCACGCAGACGACTGCAAGGTGACGAAGTGTTATCACTCTGCATCGTACAGGTAATCCGAGGAAAGCCTCCTCGATGACCCTGTTTCATCATATTCCCAGGAACACCCTTTTACATATGTCCAATAAGTGATCCCAGGCCATTCCGGTACCATACTTCATGGGCATGATTGGTCTGAATAAGGGACTTTCTCGCCGGAGCGTACAAGTCTACACCACATCACTGAATTGTTATGGAGCACCACAACAAGTCTTTCCGGCTTCTATGCTTGGCGACAGCGTGCAGATGAAGGTATCCATGTCTAGCTAGAGCGCGGAAATCTCAGCGCCGAGGAGACCACTATAAGGTTAACGTATATCGGTGCTGTGTTCTAGCTCGGAGCAGTTCACATTCTCGGTTCAATCATCCGATGCTGTGACTATTCCTTGTACAGGAACCGATCGAACAGGATCCTTATGGTACTGCTCTTTCTTTTTCTGTCTTTCTCGTTCTTAAATCTCGGTCTCTAGTCCAATCGGAGGTAGCGCTTCCTCCGACCTTGCAACCCCAACCATTGTTGGTCTTTCTGTCACAACACGACTGGGAATGGAGCGCGGCTGCATTGCGTGGTTCGACATTAGTAGTAGCCAAACGTATCACTCATTGGTGATCCAAGGAATTTTCCGATTCCTCATCAAGGAGACAGAGATATACAGTTGTACTCCGAGGGTCTTGCCATATTACTGACTAGATTGTCTACCAACAATTATTCAACCTTGCGCATGATCTAATCCTGCGAACGTTGGAAATAGACGACTGATCACATCCACCACAAGCGCCAGCCGTTAGTGCCGACAAATACCGATCCTTCGTCTAGCGTTACTACTGCGTCTAGAGTTTCTGGCTGTTGCTTAAACATCCCTGCACCAAGGAAGATTTCAAGGCAGCATGCTTCCCTGCAAAAGTCCGTGGGTAGCAGTGAACTGGACACTTAAAAGCGATGCACCGGCTGATTTGAAGCGGTCGGCATGTTTGTACGTCTGTACGGATTTAATCTACTCAACTGCTTTGTAAGTTGAGTAACACAACACTGTGTGGCTGCCATGCCTCTAGTTTTAATTCTTGTCATATACACCCCACCTTTTATTGCCCTCGGCGCCGACAAGCGCTGGTCGTTCTTTCTTTTCTTTTTTTTTTGCTATTTGATGATTGATAATTCCAATATCATGTTCGATGTGCCGCATTTATCCCGACCCGCCCTAGGCGCAGGCACGCCCTCGGTCCGGTTGATAATGTTCGGAAGAACAACTATGGTTTTGACCCGGCTTAATGGATCAAGGAAGCGTCAAAGTTCCTACAGTTCGGCATGGCTCAAAAGATCTGTTGGGTGTAGTCAATCTTTACTCACATTTCGCATTTTAAGCTGATTATGCAGCCATTTGATGACCCTGGACCATGCCGCATTGCCCGTATTCGTGTCATTGATATAGGTAGAATACCGAGTTTACCGAAAAGCAACATCCCTAATCACTGGAATCGGTGTCCTGCTGATCCATTCTGAGTATCCTCCGACAAGAGGATGTTGGACAATGATTCGATACTGCCAATACAGATTCCACCAGTGTCCACTGACTCGAAACTTGGTAGGACAGTCTCCCTAGCATAGTACCACGGTTCCAATATAGAGGACAAATAGTAATCGCCCCGTGCAAGGAGCAGCCTGGCTTCACTGCTGGCATCATCCTTCTGCCTTCTCATTTTTGCCTTCAACCTTGGCTTTTTCTGAAATGCGTATGCCGACAGTCTCGATGCAAGAATATACCCCTCTGTCCGAAGAAGTGGTTCAGATGAGTATATAGGTATAAATTCACCCGTGAAATGGGTCATCGTCAATGCCATTCAGACAACTTGTCCACTCTGACTGTCTCTTCTTTGCTTCTTCGCCGAGGATCCCACCATCATCTTGCTTAAACATGGCCCATAAGACAGGCTCAACAATCCATCTCGATCCAGAACATATATCCTGTACAGGCGGAGGACGAATAGCCCTGACATGCAGAAGTTGCGCAGGAAATCCTCGAAGGTTTGCTCCCCTGATTGTATCCAGCCTTTTGATGTTAACTTAAGGTTCTCCAGAGTTATGGATTGCAGTAGCTGCCAGGGACTGGGCTTTAACACATTTGTCTGTGCGCACTGTAACCCCGAGGCAGCGGCAGGGACAATCCGAAGTGCAGCCTCCTCGCTCCATCATCCCACCCCCGAATCGTCCCAGCCCAATTCTCCCACGTCACTGAGCAGAAGCTCCTCTAGGTCAATGTCTTCGCAGAATAGCGGACACCAAGGATAACATTGAGACTGTTTGAAATTGGCAATATTCAGTCTGAAACTGGAAGAGTGGATCCTAGTGCACTGCGGCCTGGCGCTGCTCATATTGTGACTTGGGCCGAGGGATCAAACGTTGCATTTTGCCTACTGTTGGTTGTTGTAGGTGGACAGGAGTATGGAGGAATATCATAAATCCCATATAGTCTGTGAATATGTACCTTCTTTCATGGTTTTCTCTTTTCCCCTTTCCGCCCCCTTTCTTTCCTGCCAGGTTACTGCTATCTTCTTTTTACGTATGTTGCCTTGCAATGCTCATGTATGCTCCTATTTCCCAATCTTGGCAGATTGAGAACAGTTCACGGCAATAAGAATATACGATTGCGTTATGCCAGGCTGCCCCGACTTTTCTTGCAATCTCTGATTAATGTTCTACCACTTTCAAGCCTTATTTTAGGCCTTGAAAACATAGCTACGGAAAGGAGAAAGGAGAATATAGCATGACAACATACGAACTATTGACGTGCTAGCATCGGATATTCCGGTCGTCTGGTTCGCGGCTTCTCCGGGTTCGGGGAATATGCGGGTAGACCAATTATGACGAATCCCTCTCAATGATCTACAAAGTACTCGTACATAAGGACGATCAATATGAAGACCCCTCCTTAGCGAGTGGCAATGTAAGATTCCTAAATACTCTGCAACTTATCTCAGAACTTTCACATCATCCTACGATGGCTATCTCTTGGACAAAGCTCCCCCCTCCGGAGAGAGTTCCCTACGCAATCCCTCAATTAGAGGGAGAGCGTATTACGATTCCTGGGAGTAAGGGGGTATTTCGTATCCTAGCATCTTCAAAGCAGACAAATGGCTTGATGGCTGTTTTCCAAAGTGGTGCGGTGCTGTCCGATGCACCGGGATTCCATTACCACAACCACGCCCACGACGTTTTCTTAGTCACAAAAGGCTATCTGAAACTATGGAATGGAGATAAATGCCGTGTCATGGGACCAGGTGACTTTGCATACGTGCCGCCGGTACTTCACTCCTACATGTTTTGCATGGGAAGAGAAGCAAGATCTGACACATCGCTAGACAGTCGTTCATAATCCCGAAATGTTAGGTCCGCATACAGAAATCTATGGCCTGATAACTCCCGGAGACTGGGTTGACTTCTTCCGACACGTCTCTGAGCCATACGAGGGGTTACTTGTTCCTGAGAGTGACGACCGTGATTTGAAGTCCCTGTTGATACCCAAGGTTATGGCTGCGAAAGAAAAATTTGATGTCGTCTTCCAGCCAAACTATCAACCTCCAGATTTAGGAGACTGGACAAAAGATGATGAACGTCTCCCGGAATCTTCGCAGCCGTTTTACCTACGTGCCAACACCGGTCCAAGATGGATGTTGGGAGGTGTCATGTCTCGGCCATTTATCACAACGATTCAAAGCAACGGGGTGTGCGCAATTTCAAGCATTGAATCGTCCAACAAATATGGCCCTTCGCTACTGTCAGAAGATATGACGTTCCACGATGTGGATCACTGCTTCTGTATTCAAGAGGGAACTCTGGTCGTCCGTCTGAAGGGTTTACCGGATGCCGTCTTCCGTGAAGGCGAAACGGTGGTCATTCCAGCCGGTCAGACATTTGCCCTAGCTTTCGACAGCAGATACGTACGTGTCTGGTCTTTCACAGACGGTGATGGCATTGAGAGTCTGGCGCATCGGTTGGGGAAGCCATTTGAAGGGGTTGTTCTGCCTGATAAGGAGTTAGAATGGGATTCGGCCCAGGTAGGATCTGTTGCAAAGGAGCTAAATGTAGATATTGCCTTGTAATGGTTGCCTCCACCACCCATGACTCCTTTCGCTAGTTAATACCCCGAATGCAATTTAAATTACTTAAACAACTCAGAAAGTTTAGCCAAAATAGTGTTGAAATTCCCCGCGGGGTGCCCCGCGGGGCCTGTCATGTGACGGCTAGACGAGTCGGCAGTTTGGGTTAGTGCTCGGCAATTCCGACCACTTTTTGTCGCGTCGCATACTCTTTGTACGCTGTGCCTCCCCAGATGCACATTCCAGCATCATCACCCCATACATGCATACATACAATATATCTTAATGTGACGGATATGACTATAAATGGATGATGCAACCCCAGACGCAGCGATCGCCATCAATTCGCACCACAGTGGATGATTCTGGTCCACCTCGGGCGAAGCGGCCGCGTGCTGCTCAAGCCTGCGACAGGTGTAGAACAAAAAAATATAAATGCGATGAATCATACCCTTGCTCACACTGTAAGAGTAAGTCATTTATCTGACCTCCACTCAGTGAAAAGATCTAACCTGCACAGAGAGCGGCATCAATTGCGTATATCAAGGAAATTACCGACAGCGTGAAAATGACCGCTCAGCTAGGTGAGTTACGATGAAGGTGTGCTGTGGTAGTTAGTGCCTCTGATAGCGTTTGTTAGTTATGTTTCCGACTTAGAGAAAAAAGTAAATGAGCTTTCTGCAAAGCTCCGGGTGGCTGAATCTGAAATTGCTTCCCAGCGCTCTCCTCAGTCTCAGAGAGAAGCGACAGCCCCTGAAACCAGGCAGGCGCCCCATGCCATAATAGATGCAACCCCATGTTCCATGCCTCGGCATGGCTCGACTCCAAGAGAAGAGATACCACTGTCATACGACAATCATGATGAGGCCGGGGACTCCGTGGAGGATGAGATCAGCGAGCTTAATCACCACACCAACGGCATCGAGTTCCACGGGAGCACATCGTCAACTGCATTGATCGGCCATCTCCAAAAGAGGCACGAGCCCGGACGAACTCAAGAGCGACATAATCTCACGGGTGTGCCGGAGTACTCTATAGTATCTACACTACATAATTCAAGTTTCTCGCCCTCATATACGGCTGGTCCGGCGCAACCCGGGGCACTCCATGAGCATAACTACTACTTTGAACAGGCTCATGCATTTATGAACGGATATTTCGAGAACATTCACTTTATTCATCCTCTGATTGACAAAGAGGACTTCTGCCTACGAGCTCATGATCTATGGTTTAACCGAAATAAACAACCAGAACCAAGTTTTGTCGCACTGTACCTAAGTATTCTCTCATTTGGCGCCTTGGTTCGTGTTTGGGATGAGGAGCGACTTGGAGGCTTAACGCGTTTCGAGTGGAGCCGGAAGTTGTTCGGCGAAGCCCAAGTCTATCTGAACTATTTGCAGTTTTCGAATAATCTGGACACAGTCCAGTGCTTGTACCTTATGGTATGCATGACTTATATTTATTCACACACATAATTTGGCTAACATGGGATAGGCTAAAATCTGCCAAAATGAGCTCAACCCGAACTGTCAGTCATCCTATTCTTGCGGTGATTTTGTATTGCTAATACCTAGTAGTGGCTTATATGTACTTAGGCCTTGCTATACGCACATGTCTAGCTGCTGGTTTCAACCGGGAAGTGCGTAACTCCACAGAGAAACGGGCAGGTTGGATCTCAAAGACTTGGTGGTAGGTGCACCTGGAATTTATCCAGTATCGTCAGTGCTAATTATCTACAGGGGCCTGTTCTCTCTCGAAATGTGAGCACTCTCTGAAATTGTAACTCTCTGTGATATATACTGATGAGGCAGTGAGATGAGCTTTTCTGTTGGCCGCCCCGATACTCTAGGAATGGATGAGTATCACAATCGTGCTCTTCCGGAAAGAGACGATTCCGAATACGCCATCATACCATGGATGGTTGATTTCGCGCAAATGATTCGGAAAGTGTCTGTGCAAATCTATCATTCACGAATCACCTTGCAGGATAAATTGCAGGTCGCGCTGCAAATCGAGGCTGAGTTGGATAGATGGATGTTGAGACTCCCGGAGAGAATTAAGCCGGATGTCCTGAGACAACGAGCATCTGGCGGTACCCTGCGAGATCCAAAGTGGGCTCGCCGGCAACGATTGGTCTTGGGCATTCGTAAGTCATCTACCGTGACTAATACGGAAATTGCGACTAATCCAGATAGGCTATTATAACGTCAAGATGCTCCTATTTCGCCCATTCCTGAGTCATTTTACACGCAAATTAAGACACCCACCGATCGAGCTGGAACAGACTATCGGGAAGTGCCTTGACGCTGCAATGAAAACAATTGAAGTCATCTATGATATCTACCGAGTCCATACGTTCTTCCGGTGCTGGTATGTTTTGCCATATTATTCTTGTATTTCTTTCCACCCTAATTGTATCTGATAGGTGGTATAACACAACATATGTGATGTTCGCTACATCAACTCTGCTACTCCCCATGGTTAAGCTTGGGATGTGCCCTGAAACTATCCCATTGCGACGATCCGTGGAGATGGCGCTGGAAATCTTGGAAGCAATGGACGAATCAGTCGTGGCACGGAAGTCCGTGGATCTCATCAAACGTTATCTCAAAGAATTCAGCTTGTCTGACGCCCAATCAAGTATGGCGAACATTGAGGGAAGTGTTCCAGCATATGCAGTGGAGACTCCTAGTCAGGGGACTTTTGACATACCGGTATGTGACTTTTAATCCACTATTTAAGGCTTTCGGAATCTAACGATAACGTGGCAGGAATGGGCCCACGGCTTTGGATTCCCGGACTGTTCGTTCGAAGGAATCGCCCGGCTCTTCGATGATATAGGAGGACTGCCGATGTTGGACAATTGACTGTATTATATGTGATTTTTACAATCGTAGCCACCTATGTTGCTTTGTACATACGCCATCTCGAACTGCTCATACATTTATTCACGACCTAGAATCAGTATCCGAATCCCTATAGAACTAGTACATCAAATTGCCCGTACATACATACATCTCAGGAAGTAAAAAAAGAAACAGATCTATAGATTCGCCTTCTTCTTCGAAAACAACTCCGGATTCTGCCCCACAGCCTTCTCCACCTCCTGCAGCGCATCGTACCCATACAACCAGGGCTGCACCTCAGGACACGTCCTACACGCATACATATCAGCACCTGACCTACAATCACATAACACAGAAAAAAGAAATTACTCACCATCGACTAGGAAACGCTCCTTTAATCTCCTTCCCCAACTGCGACAAGAAAATCTCATCTCTCGTTTCCTGCTCGGGTCCGTTGTACATGTGGAAATCGTTTCTCTACGGTGAGCCGTTAGTTTTATAATTCATGACTCGAACAAAGACAGAAGGGAAAGGATATAAGAGTAAGAGCGACGTAGAAATTACCTGCTTAAACGTCTCCTTAACAATCGCCTCGCCTCTTGACTTTCTCAAGCTCTCGTATAGGCGGAGAACCTCCGGGAGCTGTGATTTACTCTTCAAGTGGCCTAGAAGGCCGCCGAGGACGGCACCGTCCTCGAGAGATGAGTTTGCGCCTTGAGCTAGGTAGGGAAGCATTGGGTGACAGGAGTCGCCGCTGGGGTTATTAGTTTAGAATTGCTTGAAGATATGGTAAAGAAAGAACGGGGGGCGGAGTGTACATGAAGACGAGGTTGGATTTGTCATTAATCCAGGATTCCATTTCACCGTCTGTATCGAACCGTTAGTGGACAGCCCATAGAAGAAAGGACAATGAGATCAAAGACTCACGATGCATCAGCTTCCATTTGTCGACAGTGTCGACATAACTGAGGAATTGATTCAACCTAGACGGCCATGTTAGTCAATCTCATTCCCCGTCGACCCACAACAAACCCTAAGAGAAGGGAAAGAAGGGCATACACAGGATCCCACCCCTCAAAAAGCGCCTTCATCTCCTCCACACTTCCCTCCTGCCTCGACACCCCGGGGGGCAGATTATCCGGCACAAGAAGCACAATATTAAACATCCTACCTCCACGCAACGAATAAGCTACGGCATGTGCCCCGGGCCCAACCCAGAAATGACACTCTGGGTTCTCAACCCAAGCCCGCAGTTTCGGGTCCGTGATCTCCTCCGCCCTGAGCACAATCCGATACGCCAAATCGCCTGTCGGTAGAGGATCGTCCTTCCTCCCCTCGTAGCACTCCCGACATTTCGACCAGAGCCCGTCCGCTGCGACGATGAGATTGCCACGGTACGTTTTCCCGGAGAGCGTGTAGACAGTGGTGGCGTCGAAATCGAGCCGGTCGACCCGTTCGTTGAGGTGGAATTTCACGCCGAGCTCTTGCGCGCGGGCAAAGAGCGCCTGTTGGAGGTCGACGCGGTGGAGGTCGATGAAGGGGGCTTGGTACTTTGTGCGGATGTTGGTGTGGAATTGGTCTTCGTGGGCGAGGATTTGGCCGGTGTATTTGTGGACGGTTAAAGCTGTTGGTTCGGCGGCGGATTGCCAGAGCGATGATGGAAGGCGCCAGTGGTGGAAAAGGCGGGAAGCGTTGGGGGTTATTTGGAGGCCTGCTCCGACCTGCGTATTGTTAGCTTCTGGGAGCTTCTATATTGGCATAGACGTCCGTATATACCTCGGCGAGCTCCTTGGCTTGCTCAATAACCTCGACTGTATGACCTGATGTAGCGCAGGATATAGCCGTCGCGAGGCCGCTGAGGCCTGCGCCGACTATGATGATGTGGAGGCGGACTTCGTCTGGGACCTTTTCATTATGTTAGCGCCTTTTTTTTTTCCTTTTTGTCTCGTTCAACCAGACGGAAGACGTGATGGACTTACCATAGCTGTTTCCTCCTTGCGCGACTTTCCTCCCGATAACCTAGTCAAAAGACGGTAAATGTAGTCAAACATTGAGATACGTTGTCCACCGAGAATTTCAAATTGATTTGCAACATAACGGCCAACGCAAGGGGGCAAATCGAAGCTCAAATACGAGCAATCCGGCATCCAATCAGACGATCGTGAAGGGCATTACCGGGGTCGGAATTGCCGACACTATCGGATATTCCACAGCTGGGCATCTTTTGGTTGGCTTTTGATTGGGCTAGAGAAAGAGGATCGCGTGAAATTGATATGGGGCCCCGCGCTATTTTGGAGCTGGTGGCCAGGGCGTTGGTCTGAGCTTTTGGGCTACTTGTGTAGCTTATCAATTTGTATGGGGAGTTTGGGGGTGGTTGGATGTGTTTATTGGGCGGAGGGATCTGCTTTATTTGGTACCCAATTTTAGGGGTTTGGGCAAGATCTTGGGTATTTACTATATGGTTGTGTTCCCATCACTGTCTTGAGAATCCTGGTCTTATGGGGTATACGGTATACCAAATACTTACAGCTCTGTGGTTGTTTCGAAGAGAGCTATCCCAAAGTATCTGTTATCCGAACCCTATCAGCAGGCACAGGCAAAAGTCCCAGCCACTCTCGGCAGATCCGAGCCATAAGTCTGCAGCCACGAATTACACCATGGCTCTCGATAAGGGTAACCATCAATCGTACGTTCCTGTGGCAAATTCTCCACAGGTAATTCATGGGTAAACCAATGCCGGGTGGAGGGTTATGCTCGGATATACCGGCAGTTACGTAGAGTGGGCCAGCCGGGGAAGTGGGAGTTCAACATATCATGGACGCTTCATTTAGCACAATCTAGTATCTCATATGCTCACTATATACATCTATTGCATAACATCATCTAACATCAGCATCGGTCCGCCTAAAGAGCCGACTTCTCCCACGTAATGTCCTTCCCCACTATTCCCTCCACAGCGGGAATCAACGGCCGCAAGGCATATCCGTAGTCCCCACCATTAGGCGTGCGCAGCAAAGTGTGAATGTGGAACTTCTTCGGCTCTTCGTTGTTCAAGAAGACACCGGAGTGATGATCAAACTCCACGAGAACCACGGGGCTCTGAATCCGGTAATAAAACGGATCCTGGTCGCCAAAACCACCAATCCAGGAGAAGTACGTCTCTGACTCGAACTGCCGGATGTGATCCAATTTCATATCCCGCGATCGCTTGGGGAGGTAAAGTAGATACTGTTCCAAAATCCCGTAGAGCAATTCCTTCTGCTCCTCGTTGAGCGATGAAGCGAGGATGCCCTCGTACGGAACCTCTCGGTTATCCCGATACGCACCACACACATGTCGCTGGTCATCCTTGTTCCAGCGACCAGGTGGCATTGCGGAATCATGCATATCAGCGTACACGCGAGTCTGTTGCTGGAGATCTGGACTGAGCGACTGCATAAGTCGGAGACCGAGTTCCTCCTCGACCTGCATAATGCGGGTGCCTGCATGCGGACCGGAGTCGATCTCATTGGGTTCTGCGCCTGTGAACCACGGCGAAGCGACGATCTGGCCTTTGTACAAGAACACGTTCAGACAGAGATGATGGCCGTAGAACGACCATCCCCAGGGCCTGGTGGTAGAGGGACGTCCAAACAGGACAAAGTTGTAGGAGAACTCGTTCATCACCTTTGGTGATTCGACAAGCTCGCCTAGGAAATGGTTGATGCGCATGGCTTTAACGGCCTTGTCATAACCCTCTGGGGATAAAGTAGCCTTGAGCACGTTCAGAATTGCGTCGCGGGTGTCGGTGTTGACCTCGTCGAGACGGAGGCCTTTGTGGCTGAGGAGGAATTCGGGGTTTGACCATGTGCGCCATTCGGGGGAGTCGATGTGATATGAGAGTGCTTGGCGTTGTTTTTCGTCTACTATGGAGAGTAGAGTCTCAACTGTACCTACTATGTTGCCGATGGGAACGTCTTCATCTTGTAGTGTGAAGAGCCCAGGTCGGACGTTTCCTGACGGAATATTAGCAACAGAGCAGCAATTGTGGGAAAGAAAATGTCATACCATCAGTTGTGACACCCTTGAATGGCTCCTGCAATAAATCCAACCAGTGCATGTACAGCGCATGCAGCCATGGTGGGTTGTGAATTGTCTTGAAATCATGGGCATATTCATGCGCATCTTGAGTACGCATTACCTGGAAGCGTTTCAGGCTCAGGTCAGGTAAATATTGGCGGTACTCGCCCGTAGCTTGTCTGATTGTGTGCGCGCCATGTTGGATAGCAATTGAAGTAGTTGTGACTGGTTGAAGAGAGTTGGAGAAGAGGAGGGGTGCTACGTTTTAAATGCAGCTTATCTATACTTGGATTTTTTACTTCCCCATATCGGATGATCCCCCCGTGGCGTTCTCCCCACACTTTCCCCACCTCGGTGCTGTGGAGAGCGGCAAACTTCTTATCCATCGGCCGTTGATTCCATTTCAAGGGAGGAGACATTAATTGACCGGAGCTGCGGATTCCTAATTCCTGGGGTTGTGGGGTGACGTTGTTAGGGCTTATGCATATTATGGTGAACACACCCCCGGTAGTTCTACCGATTCACGTATAATGCTATATCCATCCTGTAGTGTAACTCCTCGTACCGGGGGAGTCGTACTTCGTGACCCGATATTCTATCCAGGCTATTTTCATCAAACGCTAATAAAACACACCAACTAACTCAATGAGGGATGTCCTTGTAAAGACTTCGTATGCTTCCTCTGGCTAACCAGCAGTTCGCTGAGGTTAGATCAACGCCGTGCATCCCGATTCCTCTGGAGTCCTTTGCGTTGTACACTGAACTGCCTTCTATCCCATTCACTCTTCATGACCAGCAGAGTCGCTGTCCTCGCTATCTGCCAGCTGCGCATTCCTTGGCACGACCACTTTGGAATACCCCAGCTGAGCCTGAGCACCATATGCCAATAGAAGCGTTTCAACCTCGCAGTGGCCTTTCCTCTTTGCCCACCCAAGGCTTGTTATTCCATGGCAGTCCTTCAAGTTCGGGTCTGCACCTGCATCAAGCAGCATCTTGACCACTGCGAGCTGGCCTCTGTATGATGCGACTGTAAGGGCAGTAGCATCGTGACGGCCACCAGGGGAGTCCAGGTTGATGCCGCTTTTGATAAGTCTTTCCACGACAAGTGCCATTCCAAATGAAGACGCATAGTACAGTGGCTCTGTGGACCAAGCCTCTTCGGTGGCAGCCTCGGGAATCAAAACCTGAACCCAGGATCTAAAGTTACCGCCATTGTGTAGGGCACATGTTGCGAAGAAGGCCATTATCTCATCCAATTCAGAGTGGCCAAGCACGAATCCAGCAGGGGCATGCAAACCACAATATTGTCCCCAAGTCATGGAGGCATAACTCAGCAGAGGGAACTCCTTCAGACGCTTTCTGAGGGAGTGTCGGCTTCGGCACGGCTTCTGGAATGCATCAAACATCAAGTATGTCAAACATTTCTGGAAGATACACCGTGTAGCTTCGACCTCCTGCAAGCTGTAGTATGCAGCAGGACCTTGCCTGATAGTGTCGGATGTAAGAAACGCTTTGACCGAGGAGTGGGCTAATGTTATAACCGAAGTCACTTCATCATACGCTACTAGTCCCTGGCATATCTTAAGGATGACTGTGGGTGAATACAGCCTGCATTCGTCGTCTAAATATTTGTCTCCCTTGATGATAACCACAGCTTCGCTCAATGCTGACAAAGTTATCGGTTGTCGGCTAAATGTAAGCCAGAGAAGTACATCTCTTGCGAGCTCTCGGCTATACGGGGGTATCTGTCCGAGAATCACTTCATATGTTCCATTTAAGCTTTCTGGCAACGTCGCGAGCGCCTTCCGGACATCTCGGCCAGTTGCTTGGGCACTGAGCAGGTCAATTTGACATTGAACGTATCGGAACCTACGTGGTGGATTAGCTCAAAGTATAACATATTTGCATAAGAGAGCTTATGTTCGTACTTACATTCCGTTGGCCTTGGCAATAAGTACGGTAGTTATATCTCTTTTAGTGTGTGGGGGGAGATTACGAAGGCTTGGGCGTGTCTCCAACTGCGCATTCACGAAATCCTGAATGTCGTTCTGGTTTGAAGATGGCTTCATCTGTGCTCTCAGAAGGTCATCCTTACTCAGTGTCACTGAAGCTGCGGTGCTGGTAACCATCACATGTATCTGATATTCAGATTCTGCGAGAGTCAGCAATGTGCTTATGATGTTTTCACACTCATCGCTCTCATTAACAGCATCGACAAAAATATACAACCGTTTAAGCTCACGCGCATGACTGCGAAGTATCTGAAGAAGTATATCCGGAGGAGGAAGTGACTTCTTCCTAAAGTCAGGCTCCAGTACATCAAGGGCTTGAGGAAAGCGATCAGAAAGCTGTGCGAGTAAAGCACCGAGAACATGGACCAGCTTCTGGGAAGCACTGAGTTGAAACGAGCAGTACGTGAACAGTGTCAAGCTAAAGTCCGTGCTTTGGGTGGCTTTCCTCGCTTCTTCTATGGCAGTCGAACTGTAGCCAGTGCATGTTAACGGCTGTATAAAATATGAAGACATACTTTCATGATTGAACATACCAGAGGACCGTTTTCCCAGACCCAGCTAAATTAATTGTTAGTACGTAGATTTAGCAAAAAACAACGGAATGTCAAAGCTTACATTTACCCTCAAGATAGAGTAATCGAGACTTCTCCTGTCCTCGAAACCATCGTTGAAAAGGACCATCGATAAACCAAGATCCTGTGCCTGCCTGGCATACAGACCGTGCTTTGCGATGACTTACTTCCACATCAAAGGGACATATCCATTCCCTTATCTTCTGACGCAGGTCCTCTAAAACGGTCGTTAGATAGGGCTCGGAGAGTAGGAGCAAGGACAATAACTCTAAGGCCGAAAACGAATAGGAAGGGTCGTTTGTTTTGGTATCTCACTTTGGCTATCTTGTCTCATCAGCGTTCCCAAGTCCGTCAAGTAATTTATTGACGATAGGACCTCTTTGTCCATTGCCCTGATAAATTAATCAGCTTCAATCCCAGATAGGAAATAGGGACACATACGAGCTCTCATTCACCATAACTAAGATAAAATAACTCTTGAGACGTTCAAGTTGGACAATACTATCTTGAAGCTTCTCTTTCTTCCCTGGCCATCCTAACTGCTTAAAAAATGACTTTCCTCGTAGTTGTCTTTTCATCAAATCGTCAAGGATGTCTTTCAGAACGCCGTTCGCGCTGAGCAAGGCGTGACGAAACGATTCTGACGAAAGCGCTTGTGCAGATTTGGGATCCTGCATGTCAAGAGTATCTTGCCGTTCTCTACTCATTTGCTCAAGAACTGCTTTTAGAGCGAAAAGCTCGCCGAATAATTCCCGGATCTCATTGTCGGCATTCTTGACCTCCTTGCAATATCTATACACCTGGCCAGCAGTTTCTATAACTTGCAGAATCAGCCCAGTTATTGCGAGGGGATCCGCCATTCCGATGGTGGAAGCCTGGCCGGTGACACCTGTCTGTTCGAAAACGAGACTTAGTGCTTCTTGTGTGGTTTCTAGTGTAAATTTTAAAGCATTCATGTAGGGGGTTTCGGATGCTTGACTGTCAAGAAGTTGTCGCGAGAAGTACCCAGCTGCACACAAATCACCCCAAAGAGCACCAAGTGTTGATTGAAAAATCTGCTGAAGTGACCAAAGAGTTGAATTGCTTATGCGGGGCAAAGGTGATCAATTTCAAATCCCGTTCTGATTGGTGTCTGTAACGATATACTAGTCAATAAGCCCGCATTTCTTGGAGGCGCACAGCCTTACCGCCCATACGAGAACTGAAGCCTCTGTGCTCATCGCATGATGCTGACAGCTTATATCACGGGAATGTACAAATTTGCGAAGCTAAATTAACCAATGTTGACTGCATAACGTTATATTTTGAATGGCGTATGATCTAGAGGTTGGCCTGTTCTCCTTGAAGAGTTGCCATTAACGCTCTCATACTTGTATAGCAGCCATTGCAGGGTCTGTGAGGATTCGATGTAATATAGGCTGGAGCGGGCCTGCAGGAACTGCGTCTCCAGCTTTATCTCGCTGTACTTCTCTCGAGTGATCTGTCGGTCCTCGATAATGGGCATCGTGGGAAGTATACCCAGATAAATATCCCAGATTACCTCAATTAGTGCCGCGAAACATTCAAAGAGTCAGTCCAGGTATGGAATAGGGTGGTTGGGTTGAAATCTGTGTAAAGGTTGAAAATATTGATGTGGAAACCATAATTGAGCATGTAGAATACTCGCGTATAGATGTTTCTCTCATCTCAGAGCAGACGTCAACGCCCATGCTGCCCCGATAGAAATGGTCCATAACTGCCGGCTGCTGAAAAAGGACCTATCGGATACGATGAAACCTGACTATATGTTTAGATGTCGGATAATTAGTTTGTCATGTTCCCTACATCCAAGTGCAACAAAGCCTCTGTGCAGATGTAGTTCTACCCCCTTCGGCGCCTGGAACACACAAGCAACGCCCATTGATTAAAAATGCCAGGTAGGCGCCCCTATAGAACACATTCAAACTTTTCCCAGTCCGGGGCCACGGTTTCTCACGCCAAATACTCTCTCAGCACATTCAGAAACCCACTATGTCCTGTTGGAAACTTGAAGCACTCCAAAATATGTTGATCTGGGCGTACCAATATAGCATGCCCATCGTACAACTTCGTGGGTTGAACACAGTCCTCGCCATTTTTGCCAGAATGAAGGTCAAAATACGAGCCTTGAAGAAACCAGGCGAATGCTCAATTTTACTTGACAAATCCACAGGGAGACATTTATGAATCTGTTTCAGAATTTGTTTCTAATGGAGGGCCGTACCCTGGTCTGCAATCAAAGTAAAGGCATCAAATGTGCACAGAGTCAGCGTCGAGCATCGTTTCATTTCAACCTCCTCTGATGAGAGCTCAGCAACGTAGGATGAATCAATTGGTGGTAACGTTGTTTTCCTCCCAGGAGGAAAGTCCAAGCATGAGGTAGACGTGCCCCACGAATACAGACTGGGCGGTACGTTGATGGGGTCCGGTGATTGCCGTAAATGTAGCCTATATGGAGACCTAAATTATCAAAATGCTCTCGTTGGTTCTCGATACCCTGGTTGATTTCTTTCATC